TTCATATACGGTTAATGACGAATCCTATTGGCTCTGTGGTCCTGTGCTGACGTACTTATTATAGATTATTAATGTTATTGATAATTTAGGATTTAATGTATTATAATCATTGTATTGATAGTGTTAAGACTTATACTCTGTTTGATAGGAAGGATGAAAAATAAGAAGTAATGAAAATAGGAGGGATACACTTTCTTTCCTTTATGTTTAGTTGGATGAATGAAAATTAAAAATGGTTATTTTTTAAATTTTTTTTTTTTAGTGCTGGCTAAGGTTACGGGTGACAATCAAATCATGTCGTGTCAAATTCGTATTGAGTCATAAAATTATGAGTCTTTTATATTTCTTATTCGCGTGTCAGGTCATTTTTAAAATCGTGTCGAGTTATAATCAATTTCGTGTCATAAAATTCGTGTCGAGTTTGAGTTATGTAATTGCATTGAGTCGAAAATTTTCACCCCTAGTTAAGATGAATTTTTTTTTTAATTTAAAAATTTTAATTTATTAATTATTTTTTAATTTTTTAATATATATATATATATTATTATATTTTTATATGAAATTAATGTATACATAATATATAGACAAATAAGATACATCTCAATATAAATAATTAACTTTTCATTCATTTTTTTCCCGATTTTGAAGGGATTGATTTTGTTCAGTTGGAAGGAAAGTTAATCCATCCTTTCTACTTTCCTTCCTTACCAAACATGATGTTTTATTCATCCCTCCAATTTTTCATCCTTCTAATTTTTCATCCTCCCACTTTTTCATCGTACCAAATAAAATATTAATGATAATTTAATGTTGAGACCTACTGACAATTTAATGACTATAATCATTAAGTTATCAAATTATATGGTTAAATATGTCCCAATAGGATTGTTTAACTTCAAAATCTTTTTATCGTGACTTATCATCTATTAAAATAAAACTGGGAAAAAAAAAGTGAAAAAGAAAAAGTGAATGAGCACTTGAATCTTCGTGGTCTAACTGCCACCTGACTCTCACCACTATTTTAATCTCTCTCTCATTCAATCTTGGGATTTTATTAGTATTATGATAAGGTATTAAACCTCTTGTTTAAGACCGAAGTCCTATCAAGATGGTTGGAGACTGGAGTCTTATATAATAGAGTGATTGGTTGATGATTCAAGTCTCATTTTTTCGTTCTCTCCTCCTCGCCAGTAATGTAACAATATCGTTGCCTTTTTTTAAAAAAAACTTTGTGCCAATACTTTTATTAATCAACTGTATTGAAACGACTTTGATAAGTCCAAAGTTATCTTTTTGTTTAGCTGGAAAATAATAATGTTAGACCGACTAAAAAAAATATAGATCAAATGACGTGTTATTAAAAAATTAAAATTAAAATGTGTAACAGTGAGACTAATAATTATGAGAGAAATTAGTGAACATAACCAAGTTTAAGGTACGATTCTGCCTCATTAAATCTTTAAGAATGACTTTTTTTTTCTATGTTTAATCTCTATTGTTGTCTTCCCTTGTAGAAGCAAGATGGATATCGCTTTCCACCACAGTACATGCAATGAACATACGACGTCATATTGATCAAAGATATGCACAATCGGAGTCTCTGTGGTGTTTGTGTGTTTTTTTNTAGAAGCAAGATGGATATCGCTTTCCACCACAGTACATGCAATGAACATACGACGTTATATTGATCAAAGATATGCACAATCGGAGTCTCTGTGGTGTTTGTGTGTTTTTTGTNGACCTACTGACAATTTAATGACTATAATCATTAAGTTATCAAATTATATGGTTAAATATGTCCCAATAGGATTGTTTAACTTCAAAATCTTTTTATCGTGACTTATCATCTATTAAAATAAAACTGGGAAAAAAAAAGTGAAAAAGAAAAAGTGAATGAGCACTTGAATCTTCGTGGTCTAACTGCCACCTGACTCTCACCACTATTTTAATCTCTCTCTCATTCAATCTTGGGATTTTATTAGTATTATGATAAGGTATTAAACCTCTTGTTTAAGACCGAAGTCCTATCAAGATGGTTGGAGACTGGAGTNATATATATGAGGGTGTACGGAGCTAAAGTTAATAAAGGTGATAGGTAAATTTTAGAAACTCTCACTGACTTGTCTGCATGGCTGTGGCATGGGCGTGACAATATTCAACTTGCCTCACTTTAGATCCCTGCCATCTGTCTTGCTCATAAATTATAATCCATCATTAGCTTTTCAGTTCCCTCATAACAACATAATTGAACACTAATAAAGCACTCACATGAAGAGATTGGGATCTTCTTGGCCCTCTATATATATCCCTCTCCTCACTCCCATACTAGCATCGCTTAAAACTATACAGAAGGCTTACTCTCTCTCTCTCTCCAACCGAAGGTTTACCAGCTAGTCGTGCACCACTAGCAGTTGAAGCTGCCAGCATGATCTAAACTTTCCTTTCTGTCGAGGGAGGATCAGATCATGTGGCAGCTCCAACTGTTGATGGGATCACGAAAAACCCTAATTATGATCTTAAGCACCGTTCTACATTCTCGTGTTGCCATATCTTTTACTCAAGCTAGTTAATGGCTTCAAAGGAAAACCCTAGTGTAAAATTTGCTTTACTTGCTTACATTATTGCTACAGCATGTTTGAATCGCTTTTATTTTACATACGAAAGCCAGATTGCTTTGTTAACTGCAGGGCCAAAGCCTAGAGTTTGCAACTAAGTCGCTTCACTAACAGATTTTCACAATATTTGGATCGAGGGTTGATAATTGATCCAAGATATTTTAGTTCGATTTTGATTTAACTCGTTTAGATTCAATTTATTTTTTAAAGAATCGAAATTTGAACAATTTTTTTAACTTGTTTATGTGTAAAATATACAGAATTAATTTGAGTTCGATTTTTTTAGAGTTCGTTCAGATTCAACTCATTTTTTAAACGAATTAAACTTGAACAATTTATTAAGCACGTTTAAAAAACAACCCGCTTAGCTCGGTTCGAGCTGTTTTGATTATCTACTTTATTTAGAACACATGAGGCTGGTGCACTTTGATTATTTAAAAAGAGAAAAACAATTTTTTTTTTTTATTGATGTGATTTAGATATCGATTGTTGTGCTCCCTTTGTCGTAGCGTGTCGACTTGTGCTGGGGAAAGAATGTTTATGTCGGTGACAGAATTTCTCCTGTCTGAACCTGGTTGGTTGCTTTTTAGATCCCTTCTTATCCATCGCTGATGGAACCTTCATATACGGTTAATGACGAATCCTATTGGCTCTGTGGTCCTGTGCTGACGTACTTATTATAGATTATTAATGTTATTGATAATTTAGGATTTAATGTATTATAATAATTGTATTGATAGTATGAAGACTTATACTCCGTTTGATAGGAATGATGAAAAATAAGAAGTAATGAAAATAGGAGGGATACACTTTTTTTCCTTTATGTTTGATTGGATGGATGAAAATTAAAAATAATTATTTTTAAAAAAAAAAATTTTTAGTGCTGGCTAAGGTTACGGGTGACAATCAAATCATGTCGTATCGTGTCAAATTCGTGTTGAGTTATAAAATTATGAGTCTTTTATATTTCTTATTCGCGTGTCAGGTCATTTTTAAAATCGTGTCGAGTTATAATCAATTTCGTGTCATAAAATTCGTGTCGAATTTGAGTTATGTAATTGCATTGAGTCGAAAATTTTCACCCCTAGTTAAGATGAATTTTTTTTTTAATTTAAAAAATTTAATTTATTAATTTATTTTTTAATGTATACATAATATATAGACAAATAAGATACATCTCAATATAAATAATTAACTTTTCATTCATTTTTTTCCCGATTTTGAAGGGATTGATTTTGGTCAGTTGGAAGGAAAGTTAATCCATCCTTTCTACTTTCCTTCCTTACCAAACATGATGTTTTATTCATCCCTCCAAATTTTCATCCTCCCACTTTTTCATCGTACCAAATGAAATATTAGTTGTAATTTAATGTTGAAACCTACTGACAATTTAATGACTATAATCATTAAGTTATCAAATTATATGGTTAAATATGTCCCAATAGGATTGTTTAACTTCAAAATCTTTTTATCGTGACTTATCATCTATTAAAATAAAACTGGGAAAAAAAAAGTGAAAAAGAAAAAGTGAATGAGCACTTGAATCTTCGTGGTCTAACTGCCACCTGACTCTCACCACTATTTTAATCTCTCTCTCATTCAATCTTGGGATTTATTAGTATTATGATAAGGTATTAAACCTCTTGTTTAAGACCGAAGTCCTATCAAGATGGTTGGAGACTGGAGTCTTATATAATAGAGTGATTGGTTGATGATTCAAGTCTCATTTTTTCGTTCTCTCCTCCTCGCCAGTAATGTAACAATATCGTTGCCTTTTTTTAAAAAAAACTTTGTGCCAATACTTTTATTAATCAACTGTATTGAAACGACTTTGATAAGTCCAAAGTTATCTTTTTGTTTAGCCGGAAAATAGTAATGTTAGACCGACTAAAAAAAATATAGATCAAATGACGTGTTATTAAAAAATTAAAATTAAAATGTGTAACAGTGAGACTAATAATTATGAGAGAAATTAGTGAACATAACCAAGTTTAAGGTACGATTCTGCCTCATTAAATCTTTAAGAATGACTTTTTTTTTCTATGTTTAATCTCTATTGTTGTCTTCCCTTGTAGAAGCAAGATGGATATCGCTTTCCACCACAGTACATGCAATGAACATACGACGTTATATTGATCAAAGATATGCACAATCGGAGTCTCTGTGGTGTTTGTGTGTTTTTTTTTTTTCCTAGTTAGAAGCATGGTGTTGGATAAAAGATTTATTTTATCCAGATAAGAAATAAAAAGATAAAATGAGAATTTTAATATTAAATACAAAAGTTTCATATATTGGCACTTATGTTTAAAGCTCCAAAATGAAGACAGATTGAAACCACCACAAAGTATATAGTTTTAGAAATCTATCATCTAAAAAGGACCATTACCAAAACAAGAAAGTTGAATGCCATGCTGATGAACTGAAAATGACAACAATTTGATATTACATTCTAAAAATTTATTCCTATAATTGCCCGGATTAGTTGGATGCTCCCAAATACAAAACCCCAATAGAATCGATCGAATCAAAAGAGGAACGAGTTGCCTTCTTACAACACAACGTCCCAAGCCATGTGAGAGAGAGAGAAGAAAATGACAAAAACGAAATTAAACAAAAAAGATACACCAACTTTTAACCTTAACAATGGGAAGTTCCTTCCCTTCAAAGACCCTTCTATTTTTCTCTCTCCTTGAGCACAGGATCAACCAAAGGAAGCATGTCCTCCACATTCAACCCCTCCCCCCTCCACAAAAAAAACACCAGACACGCCGAAGAATGTTCTGTCTCGCAACTCAACAGTGAAGCAATAAAAGAAGAATTATGCAAGGAAGAACCACACAATCCTCGTCACAAATAAATTAGATGCTTCAACGACCTCTCCATCCAACCAAATCAACTCTCTATTTTCAGGCAAGCCGGCGGCTGAATTCAAATTATGCTCTGACTGAAACACTAAATTGCCCAGATGGGAAAAAGGGAACAAGACAATGACAATCCCTCTGCTAAAATTAGAAATATATAAGTACTAGTAAATGCATGAAATAAATATCAGGATGTGTTCCTACCTAAAGAATATCAATATCACTACACATGGCCAGTCACATGAATTCAGCATTATGTATTTGATGTACTGTGATGTCCAATTTATAATTCCTCTGAACTGCTCATTTCAATACCAGGTTTAGAAAGGTTCCAACCAAGTTATACGGTACATAAAATGTTTATTTACAGAAAATAAGCAAAATAGAGCACAGTCTTACTGAATTCAGGTCACCTATTTAATAATGGTTTAGACTCTCTGAGTATCCCAACAAATCACAATTAATTAGGCTAGGGTAATTGAGGCAGCTCCAACATCAACTAACAGAAAAACATGAAGCTGATCCAGCATTTATATAAGTTTGATGGTAGTGAACAGAATTCTTGGGGAGGGATGGAAGGCTGTTGCACAATTAGAACGTTACCTTTACTAGTTGTACAGCATGTAATTGATGAAAAGATGTATCATATGCATCAGAAAAGAAACCAAAACAGATGAAAACCCAAGAAGCCACCCAACTAAAAAAGCAATATCTCACAGAGCAAGAAGGGACCGATTGCCATATTAGAGAAGAGAAACAAAGAATGAACAATTGCCAAAACATATTGGAAGAAGCATTCTGAAATATTGGCTGAAACATGAGAATTTCGATTCTCAATCCCTTCTACTGAAACCAAAACATTTCGGTGTTAACAAAACAAAACGATCCAATAAAGATTTGTATCTAATATGTTGCTTGAAATAGGACATAATTAAGCTTTCCATCCAACCATCACCAGAAAAAGAATAAAAACAATTCATTGTTACCTGTGTATCATGCATTTTGTTGGACTAGTCGGTTTATTTGCATAATCCAATCAGCATAGCCATTTGTACCACTAACATTGTCCTCAACAAGGTTTGCAAGTAGAAAGAAACCTTCTCTCGGCTGTTCACCTTGTCGCACAAGATGACAAAGCTGATAATATGATGGGTCACTCCCCCTAAATTTCTTAAGTATCGTCATCATTTTTCTCGACATTTCATGGTCACGTTCATAAAGGCTAATCTGATCCACCATAACAAAGGAAAAATACAGCATCAGGAGTGTTCAATTGTGGCAAGCAAAGCCAAGGCCCCAAAAAGATAAAGGAAACAGGAAAACGCACATGATTGCCAGACATACACTGAAATAGTGGTTAACACATTTCTACTGGAGAGGGGAAGGTCGAGCAAAATGTTCAAATTTTTCACTACTATGAAAAAGAGTTCGATCGCATTTTAAGAAAAGGCTTACAAATGAACAATTATCAACGGATAAGACAAACTATTATTGCCAATACAAAAGAAGAATGAAGCAACAAAAAAGAAATTCAGCTAGAAGACAATGTAACAACAAATAGTGAGGCACACTCAGAGAGAAATGTTTCTCTCACTTCCAATTTCTACATGCATTACTCTCAAGTATTGGAACTGTCAGGTATCAGTAATTCTATGGACTTGCTACCCTTGACAGACCTACATTCTTTTTTAATTTTAAAGGGCTAAAAAATTAACTTCACTAAACATTTGTCTTAAAAAATTGTGGCATCAACCCAAAAGTTAAAGCATAATTGACTAAAATAAAAACTGACAAATCTAGAGGTTCAGATATTCCCACCATGCATATAAAGACTGCAATGTTGGATTATTTAGTATAAATATGAGAATCAGTATGATCATGCACACACCTAGTGCCTAGCAAAGGGTTGAGGGTTCTTACTAAAAATTTAGACAAAACTAACTTATATATCTCTATCTCTGTCTCTCATACCAGGTGATTTGAGAGTTAATCGATAACAACCCATTATATATTCTAATATCTTTAGGCACTAAACTACTCTTAACATGTTTAACTTCCTCCTCAAGACACCAGCCAATAGAGCATGATTTGACTTTGATGGCTTGTGTGGGCACTGAAACCTCAATTCTCCAACAATCCGACTTAAATATTCAGAAAAACGTGATTAAGGAAATTAATATACACATTTCACGATATTAACGGGGTTTAAAATAAACATGTGTGTGTGTGTGGAGTATTCACAGATGTGCATATTCTGCTACTCTAGGACTCACTCCACTCTTTGGTGACCTAGTACTTGACACACCAATTCCTGCTGGTTTGCTTGCGTGAACACATACAGTGATATCACCGTTCATTAATTTTTGACATCACATCATAAATTTATATCAATGATGAAAAGAGAACATCAGAACGATCATGTTCCAAATATATGACAACTAGGACTCTCACTCCACTCTTTGGTGACCTAGTACATCACACCAATTCCTGCTATGGCTATTATGTTATAAGCACTGGTTTGCTGGCGTGAACACATACAGTGATATCACAGTTCATTAACTTTCGATATCACATCATCAACTTATATCAATGATGACAAGAGAAAATCAGAACGATTATGTTCCAAATATATGATAACTGGTGCAAAACCTGAAAGCAAATAAAGATAGGGCTAGTAATTCCAGAGGTGTGATGCATAGGTTGTATAATCAAAGAAATCATTCATACTTTTGAGTAGTCTGTAGCAAAGTCTTCCCCAAATAGATTCCTAGTTATATCAGGTGAAAGCATTTTGCCAAACCATATAACAAACCGAAAACCATCATCATAAATATAGAGGCCTCTGGAATCCAAGCTCTCCAAAGCAAGTGGTGAGCCTTTCCCAATGTCCTTGAACTTATCATCCTGAGGAGATGTCTGCAAATAATGATACAGATGTGACTCAAGATGTTCACAATGTTCAGAACAATGAAAATGCAAGTTACTTACTGTTATAAGGTACTCATCTATCCTAATCAAATTTGGATATAGAAGATTTAACAATCTTTTAACAGGTAAAGCCATGATGGTGTGTCCAACAGCACTGCGTTCATCAAGCTGTGCATCAGCATATCCACCACGTAGGGCAGTTGATTTACATATTGCCAATCCATACAAAGGCAAGAACTTAAGTGATTCTGGATATATCATCCTGCCCCCTAAGCGATGCTGTACAGCATATAGATTACGATATTCTCTGAGGGCTTTGACGATCCTTAGTTGAATCGAGTTCCTAGCTTCCTCCAGTTTCGAAGACAGACTTTTCTCTATCGCTGCAGGTCAATTCAGTTGATAACTTAAAACAGTCAGGAGTCCACCTAAATATCAAGTTACANAAACATTTGTCTTAAAAAATTGTGGCATCAACCCAAAAGTTAAAGCATAATTGACTAAAATAAAAACTGACAAATCTAGAGGTTCAGATATTCCCACCATGCATATAAAGACTGCAATGTTGGATTATTTAGTATAAATATGAGAATCAGTATGATCATGCACACACCTAGTGCCTAGCAAAGGGTTGAGGGTTCTTACTAAAAATTTAGACAAAACTAACTTATATATCTCTATCTCTGTCTCTCATACCAGGTGATTTGAGAGTTAATCGATAACAACCCATTATATATTCTAATATCTTTAGGCACTAAACTACTCTTAACATGTTTAACTTCCTCCTCAAGACACCAGCCAATAGAGCATGATTTGACTTTGATGGCTTGTGTGGGCACTGAAACCTCAATTCTCCAACAATCCGACTTAAATATTCAGAAAAACGTGATTAAGGAAATTAATATACACATTTCACGATATTAACGGGGTTTAAAATAAACATGTGTGTGTGTGTGGAGTATTCACAGATGTGCATATTCTGCTACTCTAGGACTCACTCCACTCTTTGGTGACCTAGTACTTGACACACCAATTCCTGCTGGTTTGCTTGCGTGAACACATACAGTGATATCACCGTTCATTAATTTTTGACATCACATCATAAATTTATATCAATGATGAAAAGAGAACATCAGAACGATCATGTTCCAAATATATGACAACTAGGACTCTCACTCCACTCTTTGGTGACCTAGTACATCACACCAATTCCTGCTATGGCTATTATGTTATAAGCACTGGTTTGCTGGCGTGAACACATACAGTGATATCACAGTTCATTAACTTTCGATATCACATCATCAACTTATATCAATGATGACAAGAGAAAATCAGAACGATTATGTTCCAAATATATGATAACTGGTGCAAAACCTGAAAGCAAATAAAGATAGGGCTAGTAATTCCAGAGGTGTGATGCATAGGTTGTATAATCAAAGAAATCATTCATACTTTTGAGTAGTCTGTAGCAAAGTCTTCCCCAAATAGATTCCTAGTTATATCAGGTGAAAGCATTTTGCCAAACCATATAACAAACCGAAAACCATCATCATAAATATAGAGGCCTCTGGAATCCAAGCTCTCCAAAGCAAGTGGTGAGCCTTTCCCAATGTCCTTGAACTTATCATCCTGAGGAGATGTCTGCAAATAATGATACAGATGTGACTCAAGATGTTCACAATGTTCAGAACAATGAAAATGCAAGTTACTTACTGTTATAAGGTACTCATCTATCCTAATCAAATTTGGATATAGAAGATTTAACAATCTTTTAACAGGTAAAGCCATGATGGTGTGTCCAACAGCACTGCGTTCATCAAGCTGTGCATCAGCATATCCACCACGTAGGGCAGTTGATTTACATATTGCCAATCCATACAAAGGCAAGAACTTAAGTGATTCTGGATATATCATCCTGCCCCCTAAGCGATGCTGTACAGCATATAGATTACGATATTCTCTGAGGGCTTTGACGATCCTTAGTTGAATCGAGTTCCTAGCTTCCTCCAGTTTCGAAGACAGACTTTTCTCTATCGCTGCAGGTCAATTCAGTTGATAACTTAAAACAGTCAGGAGTCCACCTAAATATCAAGTTACATGGTCAATAAGAAGCAGATTAAGGGTGCCCAAGTTTTTTTTTTTTTGTACCTAGCCTAGAAAACAAAGAAACAATGGCCCCAGTATCAGCATAGCGGTACATCTCCCCTAGATCTGCAACCACAGGTGCCGCGGCTGTATGTACTCTAATACGCCTTTCTCCAGAAGATGACGTGTATCTCTCAATAGCTAAGGAATTCATGTCACTTGTAACTCATTCACGTCAACACAAAAGTAGGTAGTGCCCATCCAAAATAAAATAAAATCACGAAATTCATTTCACAATCTGGAAAGACAGAGTAACTGGGAAAAGGATCATGAAAGGAAGATTATATCCTTTTGAACAATCAATTAAAGATTAAGATCAAACATAAATTAATATGGTCAAAGAAAAGAATTCACTCGCACCCAATAGAGCGGGCTCAAAACGTAGAGCATCCAAAAAAAAGGGGGGAAAAGGATCTATCCAGAAGCCATTTTGAGTTACGATAATCTCAAGAACCCAGAGTTCTAAATTCTCTTTTGATTTAGGAAGGTTGAGTAAAATAAACAAAACCCTAAAGTTTCTTTATCAATGAAGTGTTTACGTGCACACACAAAACAAACACTTCATATAGTTTACTTATGTATTTTTGTTCACACGCAAACATAAACACTTCGCGTAATTTATTTATTTGTGTATTTTTGTAAGTCCCCGCACCTGCAGACCCATACAGATACCTTAACCAAAAACAGAGAGTTTCTACTATCAACCAAGTGTTTACACACAAACACTTTATATAATATATTTATTTATATATTTTTATGTATCCGCAGAATCACACACATACAAACAGACATATAAATATGTCTTAAACTTCTTGGCCACGAATCAAAGGATACAATAAAGCGACTTGGAAATATACAGTCTGAGTTGTCAATAATGTTTCTTCAAGACGTAATTGCATTGCGTAAGCTTTATCACAGTCTACAGCTGGAAGTCCTAACAAATCAGTGGATCTTAGCATGAAGTTCCCATGATAAGATGTGAAATGCACCCCTAGAGGTACAAGAAAAACAATATTAGGTTTAGTATCAAACAGTAAGCAATAAACTACCAAGAAAGTGAGATTATAAACAGAAGCAACGAACTGAGGGTATCATGTTCTCTAGTACCAGAGGTCCACAGCAGACTGACCTTTTCCACATCTTATACGCAAGACAGCTTCCCAGGCAGTTTCTCTTGTAAGGTCCCTGGCTAACTCATGCCCCAACTTCTCTTTGTGAATGGCAGATTGGAAGTTTGGATAATAATATACCTGACCACCAGTATATTTTGCCAGAGTTCCTATAAAGGAAGAGAGGAAAATGGAAATAGTGTTATCGCCGAAATGGTGTTATCAGTTATCACTAGTTAATACATACCATTAGAAATACAGCAAGCAAGAGATAAAGACAACAGCACAAGAAAATTTAGCCCAGCAGGTTGGAAGTGTTGAAGTTGTTCAAGGAGAAATGCCAATTGACACAAACAACCTTGAAGTTTCAGTAATACTGCTAGATAATTATATAGAAAGATTTTAATTAAGAAATTGGGGAGGAAATTAACTGTATTTTCAATGTTATTGAGGTCATTTATGTTTCCAATCTTCTTATACATGAAGTATTGTGGCAATTCTGGTTTTGGGCTATAAAACAGCCTTCCATGATGGGGTTTGGGGGCTTTCTTTATATTGGGTTAGATTTGATAGATCTAGAAAGATTAAATAAAGGGCAATGACCAAGTTTCCTCTGCTTCCAAGTTAAAGCTCAGTGTATATATTCAAACAATGTGTAGGTCTTTTTCTCTGAAGCAGTGTCTGAAGATATCTTCCCAAGATAAATGTTTAGGATGTATGATGCATCTTGTATTAGTTAGAGTGCTTAAAATTTTAGATGTAATTATTTTCCCTACTTTTTTGTCTTTATTTTTCTCTAACACGTCACCTACTCAAATCCTTTAGTCTATCACAATTTGATGCAGACACTAAAAGGAAAAAAAAGAAAGAGAACCATTTGGGTAATAATAAGTAATATGAAGAATACTTTCAGCTACAGCTAACATGTTTCGTCACTTAAAATGCTGAAGATGATAATTCCAGCATAAACAATGATAAAAACTAAAGATGACAATTCCACATATTGAGGTTTAGCCAAAAACAATACTTGGCATGAAGATACATCAGAACCAGAAATCCCCAGCAGCCAAAAGAGAAAGGTAGCAAGCTAGGATTGAATATTATCCATGATCATTTTAAAAAGAATTTTGGCTTAATTATTGACATCTAAAGCAAAATACATCCAATATTTGAAGCTTGACACATCCAATCAACAGTAAATAAAATAAGCAAAAGTCATACAATAATAAATCATAAGAACAAAAACTTAGATGCTGAAAGAACGTACGACGTTCAGAAAAAAGTCTAAAATTTACTCTTCTTGACTATGGATCACTTGAAGTGAAAGCAGGATTATCTTACCACAGACACTTACCTAGGGAGGCTACATCAGTATACTTGTCACTGAATGCATAGACATTCACCGCTATCTGATATTTAGTAAAATCAGCTGCCATCTGTTTGTAAAATGGATCTTCTGCTATTCTTAATGCATGCTCTTTATCCGTTCCATAAACACGGTGATCATCTCCACGCAACCTTAGGCGGCCAACACCAAGTGAGGGCAGTGTATTCTGGAAAATCAACAATTTACCACCAAGTTGGTTCTGTATGGAGGAAAAGAAGGATGTGTCAATGATAAAACCAATCAATGGCCAAAGAACTGCTAAAAGGCAAAAAAATTAAGTTAACAGGGAAAAATACTACTGAAAAAATCTCAACACCGGTCATCAATTAAAATGGTGAAATGGCAAGAAAATAACTCACCATAACCATGAATGCGGCTTTAAGAGCTGGACCAAAAGCAGATTCTACATTTACATTATCCTGAAACATGGATGGTAAGCTATCAAGAAATGCATCGACCACATTTCTTGACTCTGATAAATTGACAAGGAGATCATCAGGCAATGGAACAAATATATCATCCAGATCTGAAACCACCATCATTTGAGGCTGCATCAAAGATGACTGGTACAAGAAAAACAAGCATGTCATTCAACAGAGAGTAAGCTTATATCAGGGAAAAATGAACGCAGGTCCTTAGAACAGTGACACAAATAACTTACCTTCATGTTGTAAAAATGTAACGTGCTGTCAAAGGTAATGAACCCAATCTGTGTTCTGGGGCAGCCAGGCAACCTGTCCAAACAAGACTTAATAGTCTGTGCCACTACCTACAGAAGGACATTGAAGTTGAACATATAATTCCAATCAAGATACATGCAGCACAAACTATCACTCAAGTTTAGATCACAAGAATAATCCACAATCACCGAACACTACTGAAGTATAGCCCCAAGAGAAGTAAATTCACAACTTTTTTTTGATGGGAAAAGTAAATTCACAGCTGATACATCTTGGTAATTGTAAACCTCACTTTAAAAATCCACAATTCTAACTTACTCAAAATGTGGTACATCTAAAGGGACCACGTTCAACTCTAAGTAACATAAGGCATAGTTACTAGTATCGCATAATATGCGATACTTATCATACGATACGTCACGATACACCTGAACAACAATATGAATCATGTCTCTATATTATTTTTGCACCATATCATACAATACATGATACGATACGTATTGTCCGATACATATAATACGTGAAGATTCTGTTTTGTTTTTATAAAAAAAATTGGTTTTTTGGGGTTAAAATGACGTCATTTCAATGCTAACCAGTGAAACAACATCGTTCCAGTGACTAGGTTTTAAAAAAAAATAAAGTCTGTTGTTAATGTTGTTCAATTGAATTAAAATTCCTAATTAATGTTAATGTTGTTCAAGCATTTTTTATATTAGTGAACTATATTGGGAACTTAAATAGTCGGTAGAATATTAATGAAATGCTACGTTATTATGAGTCTATGACTTTTTTGCAAAGGTATATATATTTTATTAATAATTATTTAAAATTGTTCGTATCTTATTTGAAAAAACGATACACCTTCCAATACGTGTTTGACAATTATGACCTGAGGAACCCTGACATTATGTGTCAAAAGAGGAGAATAAAAAAGGAACAAGGAAAAAGGGTAAAGGTTCCCTTTCTGGCCCGGCATAGGCCAAATAAAGGCAATTCCCCAGTCACTGATTTGTGTCATATAATCATCAAGCTGTATCACTATAACAGCTGCCCAAGTAGTCACAGGGATTTAGTTCAGTACACCCAATGTTATTTAAGGCGTAAGGCGCAAGGTGCCCTAAGGAGCCAAGGTCCCGTGGGGCCTAGGTGTGGGCCTCATCGAAGTAAGCCACACATTATAGATAACATGCAAAAGATTTTTCAAAATATGACATCAAAAAACACAAAAGATAAGCAAATATTCAAAAAATGCAAACATCTTAAAATATCCAAGTTGCCAAATATTCCAAATAGAGGCTCATTTTATAAACACATGCATTTATTGAAACCGCCTAAATTTAGATAAACAAACATTTTATTATAGAGACAAAACTCTTACTTCTCAATTTCCCAAGTTATGCAATGTCAATCCATATGAATTATGACAATAATAAAGCATTCAACTAGTAATTTTACAAAACCAGTTTAGTTATTCACAAGAACAGAGTTATATCATTTATCAAAACACAGCCAAAACAGTCAATGAAGTCCAAATAAATAAAACAAGTATAACACTTGAATTGGGAGAAAAGGTGCGGACTTTCTTTTGGCTTTGAGTTGGGTCAGATAAGATTTTATAATATGTTTTGTGTATCACTCACATCCAACTCATTGTGTATTTACTTGAAGATAATGACCAGCATACATCTGGACAAGAGAAAGTGTGCCTAAGTGCACTAGGCATGTGCCTTATTCACGTGGCTGTGTATCACTCACACCCAACACATCGTGTATTTACTTGAAGATAATGACCAGCATGCATCTGGACAAGAAAAAGTGTGCCCAAGTGCACGAGGCATATGCCTTATTCACGTGGCTTTGCCTGGTTTTGGCAAGGCTGGGACTTGTTGCACCCTGGGCGTAGACATGGGCTTACGCGTNATTCTAACTTACTCAAAATGTGGTACATCTAAAGGGACCACGTTCAACTCTAAGTAACATAAGGCATAGTTACTAGTATCGCATAATATGCGATACTTATCATACGATACGTCACGATACACCTGAACAACAATATGAATCATGTCTCTATATTATTTTTGCACCATATCATACAATACATGATACGATACGTATTGTCCGATACATATAATACGTGAAGATTCTGTTTTGTTTTTATAAAAAAAATTGGTTTTTTGGGGTTAAAATGACGTCATTTCAATGCTAACCAGTGAAACAACATCGTTCCAGTGACTAGGTTTTAAAAAAAAATAAAGTCTGTTGTTAATGTTGTTCAATTGAATTAAAATTCCTAATTAATGTTAATGTTGTTCAAGCATTTTTTATATTAGTGAACTATATTGGGAACTTAAATAGTCGGTAGAATATTAATGAAATGCTACGTTATTATGAGTCTATGACTTTTTTGCAAAGGTATATATATTTTATTAATAATTATTTAAAATTGTTCGTATCTTATTTGAAAAAACGATACACCTTCCAATACGTGTTTGACAATTATGACCTGAGGAACCCTGACATTATGTGTCAAAAGAGGAGAATAAAAAAGGAACAAGGAAAAAGGGTAAAGGTTCCCTTTCTGGCCCGGCATAGGCCAAATAAAGGCAATTCCCCAGTCACTGATTTGTGTCATATAATCATCAAGCTGTATCACTATAACAGCTGCCCAAGTAGTCACAGGGATTTAGTTCAGTACACCCAATGTTATTTAAGGCGTAAGGCGCAAGGTGCCCTAAGGAGCCAAGGTCCCGTGGGGCCTAGGTGTGGGCCTCATCGAAGTAAGCCACACATTATAGATAACATGCAAAAGATTTTTCAAAATATGACATCAAAAAACACAAAAGATAAGCAAATATTCAAAAAATGCAAACATCTTAAAATATCCAAGTTGCCAAATATTCCAAATAGAGGCTCATTTTATAAACACATGCATTTATTGAAACCGCCTAAATTTAGATAAACAAACATTTTATTATAGAGACAAAACTCTTACTTCTCAATTTCCCAAGTTATGCAATGTCAATCCATATGAATTATGACAATAATAAAGCATTCAACTAGTAATTTTACAAAACCAGTTTAGTTATTCACAAGAACAGAGTTATATCATTTATCAAAACACAGCCAAAACAGTCAATGAAGTCCAAATAAATAAAACAAGTATAACACTTGAATTGGGAGAAAAGGTGCGGACTTTCTTTTGGCTTTGAGTTGGGTCAGATAAGATTTTATAATATGTTTTGTGTATCACTCACATCCAACTCATTGTGTATTTACTTGAAGATAATGACCAGCATACATCTGGACAAGAGAAAGTGTGCCTAAGTGCACTAGGCATGTGCCTTATTCACGTGGCTGTGTATCACTCACACCCAACACATCGTGTATTTACTTGAAGATAATGACCAGCATGCATCTGGACAAGAAAAAGTGTGCCCAAGTGCACGAGGCATATGCCTTATTCACGTGGCTTTGCCTGGTTTTGGCAAGGCTGGGACTTGTTGCACCCTGGGCGTAGACATGGGCTTACGCGTGCCTTTAACAACACTGAGTACACCCACATTCTCAACCCTACCATGCCCCCCCCCCAACCCAAACCAAAAAAAAATGCTAACGCCCAGAGACACAGCTGTTAAAGACAATTATGGTTAAAATTTCAGCAATATTGAACTGTATATGAATTGTGTTTCAAATAATGCAAACACCGGGTTGGTAAAATGCAAGATGTGTTGATAAACAGTCTCCCTCATTAACTGTAAGTGCTTACCTCAAGCATTCCACTTTTAACAGCAGATATTGATACATCGATGAGGAAAAAATAGAGTGGCGGCATTGGAGGCCGCACCATGTATTCAGCCGGAGCAACAAATTCCACACTACCTTGGGTAAGCTCAGGCCGTTCATTCAAATCAATTCTTCTGCCACTGGCATCCAAATGGGAAAAATAATCACCCGGAACTACAGGTGGAGTTGAAGTATATCAGCATGTATGCCTTGAAAGATATAATAAACAAGAAATCTACCACAGCCGTCCAATATATTCTACATTTCAACAATCCTAAACATAAGCCAAAGCACTTTGGTACAATATAGTATTTAGAGGTCGGAACTATTAAAAATCAAAGTGCATTATGTACACTGTCTTCCACTTTTTCATGTATATATGTGTGTGTGTGTTAGTTTATTTTTTTAACTCCAGCACAGCTACAAACAATTGAAAACAAAATTAACCATTCTAACAGCATGATTTATTCTCTACCCTTGATCATTCCCAAACCCAATTCAACTCACAATATTCATTATAGTACTTCTTTATTGCAGTGATAGCACTAAAATATTCTTCTCATGGCAGGGAACACTACAACCCATTGATAATCATTAGAAAATATGTGATACAATTTGATATTGACAAAGTTCATCTCTAACCACCAACACTTCCATATGGGAAATTCAAGCATGTTTGAACCGATAATTAGTTTGAAGCTTACCATCATTCAGCAAAGCACATATGTTGCACCGCCACTTTCTTCCACCATCTGTGAACGTCACATATGGGTTCACATATGTGCGGCATTTTCTACAACGAATGATCCCAGTTGTGGCAAAATTAACAACTGGCACTTCCTCCTGAAGCAAGAACAGATTGCACGTATATAAATGAACTTGCACACAGCTAACTAAACTACTCCCAATATCAAAAGCTAAAACTATTATAAAAGCACATATACTCACCCCATCAGGAGCTTCAGCCAGAGGACAAACAACTGCTCCAAGAAGCAAATGCCACCTTGAGGCCAGAGTCTGAGAATTCGGTATCGCACTAGTTGTAAGCCGTAGATATCTAGAATCACAATTCAAAGGATACATCTGAGCTAACAAATTCGGCTCCACATCACCATCCAAGGGCCTTGGCAGTGCTTTGAAATCAAGTCCTGGATCAGATGATCCTGGAACAGACCCAAGGGAAAGCGAATTGAAGTCTTCTACCATCCCCTGCACAGCTCCCATAGGAGGTGCAGAGCCAGGATACTGAATTTGTTCCCTTGGATATGGACCTAATGGGTTTGCAACTGATGGAAAGGGGGTATAACCTCCTTGATGAGTAAGAAAAGGGGTAGATGTTGTTGATTGGTGTGGAGCATAACCCCCTTGCTGAGCAAGAGAGGCTGCAGACTGAACAGGTGGAGCTGCATTATGTTGCTTATTAGGGTAACCAGGGAAAGATGACTGAAAACTGCCTCTGGCAGCAGGATAAGAAGATCCCATTGGCGGTGAAGGTGGCTGGAAGTTTGGCCTGGGACTAGCGAATGATGATTGTACTGATGCCTGAGGAACATTCATGCCTGATGGCACAGTGTTCAAGTTCTGAGGTGGTGATCCCATAGGCACCAATGGTATCTGGGGCTGTGCATAAAAGGAAACTGGCGGAGATGAAACATGGCCTGCAGGAGGTTGAACTGGTGGGGGCAAAACTGGCTGCCCCACAGGATATGCGTATGCAGGAGGTGCTGGACCTGCTAAGGGAGATTGTGGTGTCATAAAACGCTGATAAGGTCCTGTAGCTGGTGGGTCATATGATGTTGGTGGAGGGGGCACAGATGGATTGTTAGAAATACCTGGCGGTCTAGATCTAAACCCAGAGGCTTGTGATCCAACAACAGGCCCAGATGACAAAAAAGGTGTACTAGGCTGGGAGCCAGTCGGCACGGTAGGCCGAAAAGCAGAAGCCCCTGATCCAGCCACAGGGCCAGATGCTAAAAAAGGTGTTGCACTCTGAGGAGCAGCAAAAGGCGTAGTAGCAGGTCTTGGAGTGAAATTTGGACCATTTGGATTCTCACTTCCGGTAGTTCTCATAGTTCACTCTTGATCTTCTAGCTATATTATTGCTTTCATAAATTAACCTGCCAGAAAATGCAACTTGTGATAACATGTCATTGTTTCATAAAGTGAATGTAAAACATCAAAAAGTCATAGCTCAACACTCACAAAATTGAGAAGACATTACAGGAAAGAGAACACATTACACATGTACAATGTATATTGAAAACTCAAGTATACTCAAGAGGACAGCGGAAAAAGAATTAAACAACGAAAGAGCTTTTGATTTCATTACATGGTTATAAGGGGGGAGTTTTAATAGGAAGCTCCTTCCTTATTTCCATTGTAGTCACTCTGTGTGATGGTAGAAAAAAATACAGTATCTGGGTTTGTGCACAAGCAAGTTACAGTTTAAAAGAAGTCAACTTCTGAAAAGGCAAAATTGACATTTTGGCCAATAACAATCTGTTCAAGATGCACAAAGTTTATTTTAGGGTGCAAAACAATCATGATATTAAATCAGGAAGTTTCCACATTAGTAGAAGTTTGAAGTTCACTATTTGCTGCTCACCAAAACAGGCCGAATCCACACTTGCTAATTTTCCCCTTTTTTTCCCTAGCACTAACTTGCGATTTGATATCTAAAAATTGAGCAGCCTGTTTTCATTGTCTTAACAAGGATAAATTATTTGCTAAAACATATTTAAATGGTGTATCTTTGACATTATCCAGACACCTGGTACTTGAGATATGACAATGTTAAATCATATATGTTAAAACTCACCACAAGAAGTACATTATAATTGATTAGTTCATCATACTAAAAATTCATGTGAGAATGTCTGAGTATGCAAGATTCTGATTTTAGGCAGCTAGTTGATTTTTTTGGCCAGTTCCACATATAAGAATTGGCTTTTGGAAACCAAATTTATAGCAAGAATCTAGGTCTACAAGTTTAAAATATAAAAGGTTTATGAGTTGCATATATATATTTTCTCCTCGATAATGGTCAAGGTTTTTTCCTTTCTTTTCTTTTCTTCTTTCCATTGTTGACTACAATAAGTAGTTTTCTTTCCAAAATGTAAATAATTGCTTTCTAAATATATCCATTCAGTCCAAAGCTCATTGATCAATCCTCATTCTTCTTTTGATCTTCTCTTAATACATTAAATAGTTTTTCCACATTATTTCTTGACACAACCCCCAACCATTATCTCTTGATAGGACCAGCATTAGCAATCACCTCTTTCACGAAGAAATCTGTTTTTTTCTCGGGTGTATATTCCACAATTTTAAGGGATATGGGCATGCCACTTTTTTCATAAGATTTTTTGACTCAACTGCTGGAGGGCACAAGTACTACAGGGATATTTAAACATGGACAACTGAACAAATCAACCATGATAAATCATGCCATAAAATTGCCGATATCAACAAATTCTAAAGTTTCGATTGGAATCCTAAGCAGCATTGAAAAGAGTGTGACACATGCAAAAGAAAGTAACCTAAAAAAAGGGACATCTTACGGCCTAAATGTTATTAACTTCAAATCTCACATGTTCCTGGATCACACTAGCTATAAAATCTCTCAACTTTTCTCCTTGTTTTAACATGTCGTTATACAACTAAAACGAAAAACCTCAAGATAAATTTTCAGCATAGAGACAGAAACCACGCAAATTAGTAAACCACCGTAGTTCCAAACCCGATCCCCTTGAATCAGACTTAAATTCAGTGTATTTGACCTATTCCAGTAACATCAATTCCATTCAAACATCAGATCTTGGGAGTAAATCAATCCCCATCTTTGTTTGACAGTGATCAATCGAGCGAGTGGAGATCAGAATTTGCGTCAAAATTGCACCAGCAGTGATGTGGTGAATGATGGAGGATTACCTTCACGAATATGTCGCCTGAAATTCGCCGTATGAAAGTGGAATTCGAAGTGCCGAGAGTCGGCGATCGGCGAGAGAGAGTCGGCGATCGGCGAGAGAGAGTGGTCGTGTCGATCCCGAACAAAATTGTTTTCTCTGCTTACACTTAGACCTAAGCATAAAATAGACCGACGTTGTCTTGATCGGTTTAACTGTATAAAAGAAAGGTATAGTAAATTCTGAGCAAGTTATCACTGTCAACTACAACGTAATCTTATTAAATTATCTGTCACGTATTTTAAGAAAAATTTTATTCACATTTTCTTTAGATAAACATATTTTTATAAGACATATCTGTTTTCTAAATTTTTTTATATATTAAATTTGATTCAAATTTATTAAAATTTAATTTTTATTTATTAAAATTCGAGTCAATTAAAAATTATATTTTTTAATTATTAAAATTTAAGTCAATTAAAATTCTATCCGAGTTGATTAAAATTTATTTTTAATTAGTTCGAATCAAATTTTAATCACCCGCATTGAATTTTAATCAGGTCGAATTTTGATATATAAAAAAATATAAATTTTAATCTACTCGAATTTTAATACGTAAAATATAAGTTTTAATTAATTTGAATCGAATTTTAATTGACACAAATTTTAATAAATACAAAAATATAAATTTTAATCATTCGAAGCGAATTTTGGTCAACACCAACAACTTAGGTAGAGCTCAAATCAGTTTGAATTTTAATACGTAAAATTTTTTTAATAAGTTCGAATTTTAATACGTAAACAAATAAAATTTAAAAATGAATTTTAATTTGCTTGAATTTTAATCAAATTTTATTAGAAAGATTATTTGGGATTTATGTAAGGACAATTTTATTATTTTAGATAAAAAAATTTGTTAGAAACGGTGGTTTAATGATAGTCAGTGATATTTAAATATAAACTAAAATGAGTGTTAGTGATGCTTTAAATAATAGAGGAAGTGTCCTAGAAATTATGATAAACAAAAGGAGGTATGACCGAATTTTTTTACATTTTATATATATATATTTTTTCTATTATATTGATAATTATTTTTTTTAAAAATTACTTAATTAGTTTACATCGGCAATAAGTACTTCAACCATTTTCTCCTATTTGCCATTCAGTAAGCTTACCCTACGAGACAAGACAATGGACGCTTTTTATTCCTCTTTTACAACTTTAGAATTATTTATATGGGTAAAAATTCTTTGTTGTTAGAAAATTAACATTTTATTATTAATCAAAATAGTGTCATTTTGATCGACTAAACTTCTATTGTTAAAAATTAACATTAGAGAAAGTCGAATCCAAATTATCTATATTTAAACTACTTTAAAATATTAGTATACTTAAAAAAAAAAAATTTCACTTTTACCCTCCACTAATGCAACTATACCATCCTTATCCTCTACAACAGTAAACCTAATGTCAATATCAATTATATCCATCATAAATGCTTTCACATTTACTAATTAGAGGGGGTACAATGTCTATTAACATTAAACTTGTAATTAATGTCAATCTTAATTTGATCAATAATACAATGTCAGTCCCTACACCTCCTCATAACAAATGGATTCTCAGTCAATTCCCCTTGTACGCTTTCAACCCCTTTGTAACTCTCAAATTCTTTCCATTCCAGTGTCTTTTAAGTTCTTTGTTAATGGTGATTTCAGCTTGATTATCTCAAAAAACTTAACTGTCACTACCTCCCCTCCGTCGCACGGTTGCTAATGGAGCCGCACAAAAAAATAGGGAATCCATACAAGCCATTGATGATCGATTGATTTTTTTTTTTTTTAAGGAAGAGAAAACTCATTTCGTCGGGTGCAGTTAGTCTCGAATATTGTCAATGTCTATGTGTCTCATAACGTGGCCTTAATTGGCCAGATCACCGTCTATGATGGAACCTTCGTCTGGGACGATCAGTTCCATAATCAATCTTATCTCTGTCTCGATTTATTCCAATTTACAGGAAAGGTGTCTCGGCCCGACGGCTTGGAATTCGCCTAGAGGTTTGGAAAAATTCTAGTTTATTTCATTTGTAAGGTGGGTTCTTGAGAAATGTGTTTTTATTTTAAATTTTTTATGTGATATATTATGTAGCCTAAATTTATAACTCAAATTTATATTTCAAATAAAGGGAATATTGGATCAGTGAGTCCCATCAATTTTTTAAAATAGGACCCTTCATTTTGGGATGCAAATTTAGATTACAGATTTGAGTTATATAGCGTTGCTTATTTTTTATTAGTTGTTTAGGATATTATAAAGCCAAATTTGCAGTTTTAATCCAAAAATCACTAATTTGGTGTGGCCAGCAGGCGGCACTTTACGATGTGATGATTGAATCTCCTGTTCACCAAGTTGTTCGATCTCTATCCGATTAAGGTCTGTTAATGGTTTACTTGCTTAAAGGCAGAAAATTCAACTAGGGGTGCGGCCCGATTTTAATCCGAAAAAATTAGGGCTTGAACAAAAATTTTTAATATTTGGGTTGGACTTGGATCAAAAAACCCCAACTTGAATTCAATTTGGGTTGGACTCAGGTTAAGGCCTCGGGTTCAACCCGAATCCGACAAATTAAAATTTATATATATATAAAGCATTAGCACTAATTTTTCATTTTTGTTATATCGTTCTCTGTCTCTCTCATTCATTTTCATTTTTGTTCTATCATTAGTACTGTTAAAAACTTGGTTGAAGTTATTGGTTGTTAATTTAAGTGAATATTATGTAATATATGTATTAGGTTTAGAACATCAAGTCTATTTTGGACTCTACCCGAACTTAACTCGAATTAAACCCGTAAAGTAATCCGAAATCATTAACCCGAGACTGCCCGAATTAAACTCGAGCAATACTTGGGTTGAGTTTCTCAACTCGAGGTAGAGTTAAGGTTAAAGTTAAGGTTGCAAATTATATACCTAGGATTAGACTAGAATTGATTGTCCAATCCGCCCGAGTTGCACCCCTAGATTCAACCTTCTTTTTCCCTTGTTTATTTTTTGGGTCACCATTGTTGTAGAAAGTTTACCGAAGAGATCTCAGTTCGGAAGACACCCAAACTGATATTCTTGATTTTTTTCGTACAGCTACCCTTTGGTCATCAACTGTTGTACATACAATGTCATAAGATTATTGAGAAATTCAAAAGTACTATAGAATGTCATAAGATTATTGACATTTTAATATGGATAATTCAAAATTGATCCAAAAAATTAAATTGGTTTTGACATTTTAATATCAATTTCAACTCTTTTTTAACTTGCAACTTAACCCTAATTAAGTTCTAAGCAAAACATCTTATAGTACAAAACTTTTCTGTTCAACATGGAACAAAAAGGTCTCGGTGCCAGCAGAAAAAATGATTCGGAGGTATACCTATACGTGTGTATAAAGTAACGTGATCATAGAAAACTATGCACCGTACTCTCTAGTGGAGAGAGGTGGAGAGAGAGTAAATTGAATTGCATAATACTTGTTCTATTAGTTATGCAAAACAAAAGTAATTATCATCATCATTTGGTAATGTGGTTGGTGTCCCTACTACATCAGAATTACAAAGATTGGGGGGTAATATGCTTCTTATAAGCAAGGATATATAATCAACATGAAGAAGCCATCATCATCCTCACAAATTCTTCATAGCTGACCAGACCATCTCCATCCAGATCAGCCTCTCTGATCATCTGCTCAGCTTCTTCATCCGTCAGTCTCTCTCCCAAATTTATCATCACCTCTCTCAACTACGCACCGACACCGCGAAAATTAAACACAGTCAAGCAAAAAAAACGGGTCTAAAAATCATTAATTCACTATTAACATCTAAGTTTACGACAAACCAACTTAATCTTACTTCGAGACAACCTTGAAATAAGGAAAAAACATGGTGAGAATGTTCACCTCAAGGGCTGAAATGTAACCATCTTGGTCCCTGTCAAAAACTTTGAATGCTTCTTTAAACTCCTCTGCTACATTGTCCTGCTAAATTCGCAGGATTGTCAATCAACTTCGACGAAATTCTGCTAAATGATTTTATTAGAAAGCATATGTAACACAAACATTAATTTTAGAACTCATTATTTTTGTTTATTCCTACCTTCATCTTTCTTGCCATGATGCCTAAAAAGTCCTCGAAATCTATGGTCCCATTTCCATCAGGATCGACTTCATTTATCATTTCTTGAATCTCTTCCTTTGTTGGATGTTCATGTAGAGATTGGATCACCACTTCCAGTTCTTCCATGGTAATCAGACCTATGAATTGAACAAGTTATTAGTTTTTCAATATTTTTTTAACCAAGAAAAAAAAATTAAATTTTTGGCAGATCAGAATTTTTGTTATATATACACATAGCAATTATAATTAGCATATAACTAATTCAAGAATAAAGGCTCTTACTCATGCTTCACAAGAATATTACATTCTGTCAACAAAATAAACTGTATACATATGTGGAAGAAGATATAAACTATGAACATATCGATACCATCTGAATCTTTGTCAATCATGAAAAAAGCTTCTCGGAACTCGGTAACTTGTTTTTCGGAGAGTGCTTCGGCCATCCTGGATTTGATCTTGAAGTCGCTCCAAAGGAAGTGGAAAACTTTGATGCTAAGAGAGAAGAATAAGAGAGATACATACCACCGGCACTTGGTCTTTGCCTTTAAATAGGACTTGGATTAAAACATGGGTTAGTCGCAAAATTTTCAATAAAGGAAATGAGGAAATTCAAACACGCCTGAGAGAAAAAATTGTAAGAAAAATCATTCAACAGTCAACAGTAAAACTTCTCTAGAACCGGGTCTGAAATCAACGTTTGAATGAAGAAAATAAATGCTTACAAAAGACACTATAAAAAATTAGTATGGCCTCAGCAATACATAGTTGATTGGACCATGACTTTTATATTCTTTGCTCCAAACTTAGATGTCAGATTGATTGGCCAAAACTGTTGAAAAATACCACATCAGAGGATGATAAAAGAGTCTTAGGCTATATAAATGAGCAGGTTACTCCACCTATTAGGTGTGACTTTTGGGTTAAAATCACATGTCCAATAAATGATATCAAAATCACGACCCAAACCACCTTGTGCACTCGACTCTTTGGGTCGTATGAGAGAAAGAACAATAATGGTTATTTATTATAAGTTTTATTCGAGAGATAGATTGTTGAAATGACGAACAAGTCCAACAAGTGAGCAGACGCCTTTTGAATTGAAAACTCATGCCCAACAAAAACAAGGATGGTGGCAGCCTAGAGCACAAGGGTCTCATCTAGTCCGTTCACACACCACCTCAACATAGTCATAGATCATTGGTTATTTATTATAAATCTCATTCGAGAGATAGATTATTAAAATGACAAAAAAGTCCAATAAGTGAGCAAACGCCTTTTAAATTGAAAACTCATGNGGTTTTGACATTTTAATATCAATTTCAACTCTTTTTTAACTTGCAACTTAACCCTAATTAAGTTCTAAGCAAAACATCTTATAGTACAAAACTTTTCTGTTCAACATGGAACAAAAAGGTCTCGGTGCCAGCAGAAAAAATGATTCGGAGGTATACCTATACGTGTGTATAAAGTAACGTGATCATAGAAAACTATGCACCGTACTCTCTAGTGGAGAGAGGTGGAGAGAGAGTAAATTGAATTGCATAATACTTGTTCTATTAGTTATGCAAAACAAAAGTAATTATCATCATCATTTGGTAATGTGGTTGGTGTCCCTACTACATCAGAATTACAAAGATTGGGGGGTAATATGCTTCTTATAAGCAAGGATATATAATCAACATGAAGAAGCCATCATCATCCTCACAAATTCTTCATAGCTGACCAGACCATCTCCATCCAGATCAGCCTCTCTGATCATCTGCTCAGCTTCTTCATCCGTCAGTCTCTCTCCCAAATTTATCATCACCTCTCTCAACTACGCACCGACACCGCGAAAATTAAACACAGTCAAGCAAAAAAAACGGGTCTAAAAATCATTAATTCACTATTAACATCTAAGTTTACGACAAACCAACTTAATCTTACTTCGAGACAACCTTGAAATAAGGAAAAAACATGGTGAGAATGTTCACCTCAAGGGCTGAAATGTAACCATCTTGGTCCCTGTCAAAAACTTTGAATGCTTCTTTAAACTCCTCTGCTACATTGTCCTGCTAAATTCGCAGGATTGTCAATCAACTTCGACGAAATTCTGCTAAATGATTTTATTAGAAAGCTTATGTAACACAAACATTAATTTTAGAACTCATTATTTTTGTTTATTCCTACCTTCATCTTTCTTGCCATGATGCCTAAAAAGTCCTCGAAATCTATGGTCCCATTTCCATCAGGATCGACTTCATTTATCATTTCTTGAATCTCTTCCTTTGTTGGATGTTCATGTAGAGATTGGATCACCACTTCCAGTTCTTCCATGGTAATCAGACCTATGAATTGAACAAGTTATTAGTTTTTCAATATTTTTTTAACCAAGAAAAAAAAATTAAATTTTTGGCAGATCGGAATTTTTGTTATATATACACATAGCAATTATAATTAGCATATAACTAATTCAAGAATAAAGGCTCTTACTCATGCTTCACAAGAATATTACATTCTGTCAACAAAATAAACTGTATACATATGTGGAAGAAGATATAAACTATGAACATATCGATACCATCTGAATCTTTGTCAATCATGAAAAAAGCTTCTCGGAACTCGGTAACTTGTTTTTCGGAGAGTGCTTCGGCCATCCTGGATTTGATCTTGAAGTCGCTCCAAAGGAAGTGGAAAACTTTGATGCTAAGAGAGAAGAATAAGAGAGATACATACCACCGGCACTTGGTCTTTGCCTTTAAATAGGACTTGGATTAAAACATGGGTTAGTCGCAAAATTTTCAATAAAGGAAATGAGGAAATTCAAACACGCCTGAGAGAAAAAATTGTAAGAAAAATCATTCAACAGTCAACAGTAAAACTTCTCTAGAACCGGGTCTGAAATCAACGTTTGAATGAAGAAAATAAATGCTTACAAAAGACACTATAAAAAATTAGTATGGCCTCAGCAATACATAGTTGATTGGACCATGACTTTTATTTTCTTTGCTCCAAACTTAGATGTCAGATTGATTGGCCAAAACTGTTGAAAAATACCACATCAGAGGATGATAAAAGAGTCTTAGGCTATATAAATGAGCAGGTTACTCCACCTATTAGGTGTGACTTTTGGGTTAAAATCACATGTCCAATAAATGATATCAAAATCACGACCCAAACCACCTTGTGCACTCGACTCTTTGGGTCGTATGAGAGAAAGAACAATAATGGTTATTTATTATAAGTTTTATTCGAGAGATAGATTGTTGAAATGACGAACAAGTCCAACAAGTGAGCAGACGCCTTTTGAATTGAAAACTCATGCCCAACAAAAACAAGGATGGTGGCAGCCTAGAGCACAAGGGTCTCATCTAGTCCGTTCACACACCACCTCAACATAGTCATAGATCATTGGTTATTTATTATAAATCTCATTCGAGAGATAGATTATTAAAATGACAAAAAAGTCCAATAAGTGAGCAAACGCCTTTTAAATTGAAAACTCATGCCCAACAAAAACAAGGATGGTGGCAGCCTAGAGCACAAGGGTCTCATCTAGCCCATTCACACACCACCACAACATAGCCATAGATCATTGGTTATTTATTATAAGTCTCATTCGAGAGATAGATTGTTGAAATGACGAACAGGTCGAATAAGTGAGCAGACGCCTTTTGAATTGAAAACTCATGTCCAACAAAAACAAGGATGGTGGCAGCCTAGAGCACAAGGGTCTCATCTAGTCCGTTCACACACCACCTCAACATAGTCATAGATCATTGGTTATTTATTATAAATCTCATTCGAGAGATAGATTATTAAAATGACAAAAAAGTCCAATAAGTGAGCAAACGCCTTTTAAATTGAAAACTCATGCCCAACAAAAACAAGGATGGTGGCAACCTAGAGCACAAGGGTCTCATCTAGCCCATTCACACACCACCACAACATAGCCATAGATCATTGGTTATTTATTATAAGTCTCATTCGAGAGATAGATTGTTGAAATGACGAACAGGTCGAATAAGTGAGCAGACGCCTTTTGAATTGAAAACTCATGTCCAACACAAACAAGGATGGTGGCAGCCTAGAGCACAAGGGTCTCATCTAGCCCGTTCACACACCACCTCAACATAGTCATAGATCATTAGATTATTGGGTCTTACAGTGTTTATTAAATATGGTGTTTGGATCAATTTATGTATACTTTGATTAATTCCCTATCTAGTTTGTTCAAAAATAGANATTATTGGGTCTTACAGTGTTTATTAAATATGGTGTTTGGATCAATTTATGTATACCTTGATTAATTCCCTATCTAGTTTGTTCAAAAACAAACTATCTACATCAGAAATAAAATATTTATGAGAGAAAACTCTTTCATGACCTGACTCTAATGAATTGTCAAAATTCGAACTTAGCATACCAATCGCCATTATTGAAAAACAATTATGGACCTAGTTTGAAAAGGATTTCAACAAAGTGAAGTGTGGTGGTCTCAAATTTCGCCATAGGATAGCTATGGAAGGAGGGGGGTTCACACATTCTAGCTATCAGTCTGGACAAACAAAGATGAAGAATATAATATGAAAAAAGCAATCATCAAACATGATCAAAAGCCGGACCAAAAAAAAACATGATCAAAAGGATCTCGAATATTTCAAACCTAAAGGAACAATTCAGCCAAAGAGCAAAATACATTCAAAACTAAACCTATTCAAACTGTTCCTCTCATTCCCCAAGTCAGAAGGCACAAGTCTCATAAATTGCCCATGTCGCAGATCCATTAGAACAACTTCAAAGGGTGTTGATATTTTGGAGTGTCAAATTATTTATTTGTAACCTTGAACAGTGTTTTGACACCCGTAAATTATAAATCTGTTCTAATGGCAGGTGTCAAAATGGAGTTCCATTTTCATATTTTTATTCATTAATCTATATAAATCGTTGGATCTATAATTATCTAACGGGTCTATATTCATCTAACCGATCTATATTCATCAATCCATTTGCAACCTCTTCCTTTTTCTCTCTAGAGTTGCCAAAAATGTCACCTCAAAAAGCTTGATGCTATTTTCCAACCCCATATACCACTCCCTTTGGAACCCAAAATTTTGAATTTGGAGTGGCATATGGGGTTGCCACCCCCTTGGAGTTGTTCTAAGTTCCTAAACAAATGCAAAGGGGCAGAGTTCTCTCATTCCACCGGGTCTTTGTTTTCATTGTGCAAAGGGATCCTCAGAGGACGCAAAACTATAACCCCATTTATATATAATTGGTTCCACTCGAATTTATCGTCAATAATGTATCCAAAAAAAATGGTGAGAAAATGTAATGGAAATTTTTTTTTTCTCTCTCTTTATATATATATATATATATTTTAGGGGGTATCGAGTATTGTGAAAGGACCGAAAAGAGATAACCAGAAGTATTTTCCCTCTTTTTTTTGGTCAGATTTTTGTGGCATGGTATAAACACGATGATATTAATAAGCAATCTTATTAGAGCATAATTTGAATATCGGAGAATTCAATGTGCTGTGATCTGTGTATGTCAGTATTTAATAAAGTTTATTATCAATTAAAAAAATGTAATTTATTAAGTTTTTAGATTAAAATTTTAATTAAATATAAATAATAATTTGTGATATTGACTGGTTGGACTACATTAGTAAGATCTGGAGTGAGGGGACGATTCGAGTTGTGTGACTTAAAAAGGAAAATCCATCATTGGGCCCTGAAAGTATTAACTGGTTTTGCTAGGCCCAATTCCATAGAGCCAATTTCAGATGCACGATGAGGAGGAATCATGGTGGACCGGGCTAGTCATTAGTCCTAGGCTGACGCGCAAGGTCACGGTCCATGGTCCTTTCGGGGAAGAGCCGCACTACGATCATGTTATTTGTGGAGTAATATTAGATAGGCTTTAAAAATAAATTTGATAATTATAGTTATTGATTTTACTGTAAGTCTTATTATTTATTGAGATCCACTACAATAATCTGTAAACAAGTAAAAAAGTGAACTCCACATAAGCCAATAACTATTCATCAATGTATGCAGATAACTACTCACTTTTTTTCATTCGTGAATTCGATCCAGCCCAAGGTTTAAGGAGTCTAAGAAAATTAGAGTACGTGGGGAGCAATCATCGGGACACTCACTCTTGAAGATCAAGATAACCTTTAATTGTACTTACATTTTGTAATTATCCTTCCCGATAAATTAGTGTCTTTACCCTCACGTTACCGTCTCATCTAAGGGCTTCATGCATATAAATTGTATGCTTTCTCTACATAAGAGGACACCTTTCTACACATCCATAACATAGTTTTGTCTGTCTCCTAACTACCATACTCCTACCGGAGCTAACCATTACTCTCTCTTTCTCTCTCGCTCGCTCACCTTACTTTATTAATAAAGGTTTTTTGGCCACCATTGTCTTTTCCTGAAATGGAGTAGATCACTAGGATCGAACCACTATATATCTGTGTGTTAACCAAATATTTATTTTTTTTGGCATTGGTTGTTTTATTAATTGTCTCATTAATTCTCTTGCATTATTCACTCGATTGTTGATCTTCCATAAGCTTATTCTGTGCATTATCAACTTAATTTCAAGAGTAGTTCAAGTGGTAATATAGACGAGTTGTAAATTCAGACATCCTGAATTCGAATCTTAACAACCACTTGGAATAACCACGAAAGATTTGTCTCTCCTGAATACTCTAATCCTAGCATAAATTGTCTTTGCCTTTGACCGTATTAGGAAAAGAAATACTCAAAGTATGTGTAAATTAGTTCAACCACCCTTAACTTTTAAATAAAAGAAAATTTAGTTATCTCGTCTACTTATGTTAAATGATGTCACCATTAAATAATGATGTAATAAGTGAATAACGTGAACCCTAATAAATAAGTCATTTATTTGATGCCTAATATACGTCACCCACCCCATTACCCAATAAATTTTCTCCGTTCATTTTCACTAGTGCAATGTTATAGGGACTTAATTCGAATTAAGTCCCCCAATTAAATCTATTTTTTTTTTCACAAAGGAATATTGTTGTTTCCCACCAGTGGAGGAACTTACATGAGTTAGATACTGACAACCTTGTGCATGATTTGTGTGTGCATTGCTCTCTATATACAGCGTAGTCACCAATGACTATACGAAAATTTTAAAATTGTCATGCAATGCAACTCCACAAGGCAACATAAAAAAACAAACAAAAAAAACAGGGGAGGAAACAAATGACGAGAATCATTTTTCATAAGTTTTTTTTTTATTTTTTATTTTTTATTTTTATACCTAAAGATCTAAAAAAATGTATATCTACTGTACGAGACTCTCGTCATTGTAGAGTCTAACGAGAATTAGATGTACGCAATTTTACCCCAGCAAACAGAAAGACTATTTTTATGACTCGAATTCGTGATCTCTAAATTACAATGAAATAATTTTACTGTTGTGTCAAGACCCGTCCTCTAATAGGGCAAATAATATTTGGCCAGTTGTATGTATTGTACCTAAGCATTTCTTTGGTAGTGTCAACAAGGGTTCCTAAAGAAACTCCATTTTTTGAGGCGTGACTTTCTCTGCTTCAGCTTGTAGCATTTGGATTCTCCGTCTGCTTTCCAAATGAAGACAACCCAACTTTTATTAGTGTGAACTTAAAACCTAAATGCCCACAACATATCTCATAAGAATAAGGGTAAATTACAATTTTTTGTCTTTAAAAGATGTGTTTAATGTTTATTTAATATTTAATCTTTTAATTGTGCCTATTTAATCTCTAAAGTTCTTCATTTATATCTACATAGTCTAGTCTCAAACGTACGTTAAAAAATCGTGATAATTCTGATCACACGTCAATCACATAATTCCTAATTTTGTATATATTTAGTCTTTAAAAGTTTTAAAATTTTGTCTATTTAGTCCCACATAATTGGCGCATGATCAGAGTCATTAACGATATTTTGACAAACTTTTGGAATTTGACTATATAGATACAAATTGAAAATTTTAGGGATTATATAGACACAATTAAAAAATTGAGGACCAAATAAATACTAAACGCATACTTTATGTACCACAAGTGTATTTTATCCTAAAAATAATATTCACTCTTGTTTCTTCCGAATCAGCATAAGACACTGAGGTCCAAAAGCCCTCCCTCTCCCTCCTATATATTCACTAACATAAACATCTATCCAATCCTCATCTCACTGCGAAGGCCCAAAACTTGTATAAGTTTCCTATCACAGTCACCGGACGGAGTTAAGCCTGCCACCATGAATCAGCTTCCGCAGAACCTCATTCCAGACCCTGCGAGCCCCGAATGGATGAACAAAGGAGACAACGCATGGCAGCTCACGGCGGCGACGCTGGTCGGCCTTCAAAGCGTACCTGGACTCGTAATCCTCTACGGCAGCATCGTCAAGAAGAAATGGGCTGTGAACTCTGCTTTCATGGCTCTCTACGCCTTCGCCGCCGTCCTCGTTTGCTGGGTCGGCTGGGGCTACCAAATGGCCTTCGGCGATAAAGGGAAATTCCTTCCTTTTCTCGGAAAACCGGACGTCTCCTTGGATCAAAAGGTTTGATAAAAACTAACCAAGAATAAATACAATGAAATAACATAAGATCAAGTACACAAAAGTGTTTAATGTGATTCCATCTACACCCATATGTGCTAGGCTGGTCAACAGTTCGGGTTTTGGATTGGATTGTGATTAGTCTAAATTCGAATTTAATTTCAATGTCAGATAGAATTCACAATTAATTTAATGGTCTCTAAATTAAAATTTTAAATTAAATTCAAATAATATTTTTCAGATTAATTATGAGTTACACGATGGAGATAAATCAAACGATTAGGTCATTAAGTACGACCAATTGATTGACTCATGTGAGATACATATTTTTTTTCTTCAACTTTTACCAGGTTCTTCTGGAAAAAGCGTTTCTTGGGATGTTGCCGACTGCGACGATGGTCTTCTTTCAGTTCGTGTTTGCGGCGATCACGTTGATATTGGTCGCCGGCGCATTGCTCGGAAGGATGAATTTTATTGCATGGATGTTGTTTGTGCCGCTTTGGCTTACGTTCTCTTACACTGTCAGTGCGTATAGCATATGGTTTCCCAGTGGGTGGTTGTCGAAGATGGGAATAATTGACTACTCCGGTGGATATGTCATTCACTTGTCTTCAGGTGTCGCTGGTTTCACTGCGGCCTATTGGGTGGGTAACCAGTTTGAGTGGCATGCATTGTTACTAATTTTTTGGTAAATCACGTCATATTAAAATTTATTCAATTTATATTTGCTGTATCTGTAATTAAATATTGTCAGGCTTAGGCTTATTCGACTACTACTTATATGATAATTGGAACAGGTGGGACCTAGGGGAAACAAGGATAGGGAAAGGTTCCCACCAAACAACATCCTACTGATGCTTGCTGGGGCGGGCCTACTGTGGATGGGTTGGACAGGATTCAACGGTGGAGATCCCTACGTTGCCAGCATAGACGCATCTCTGGCCGTCCTCAACACGCACGTGTGTGCTGCTACAAGCTTGCTGACGTGGCTCCTTCTTGACATTCTTTTCTTTGAAAAGCCTTCGGTCATTGGCGCCACACAAGGCATGATCACTGGCCTTGTTTGCATCACCCCGGCCGCAGGTACATTAACTTATATCGAAAAAACACCATTGCGTCCCAAATTTGGAAATGTTGGTGTAATATGAGTTTATGTTGAATATTAACGAATTTGTATTAAAAAATATTTTATTTATATTTAATTTATTTATTGCTATAAATTTAACGAATCATATAATATCGAATTTATATCGTGTATGAATCTTGCATAATCCGTTATATACACAAGTCGCGTTATATGTATTTTTTTAATTAATTTTATTCATACCCGATTCGTTTATTCTTAATTAAAACTCAAATCTTTTAATTTCGTATTGTGTTAAGGGATCATTTCATATTTTGACACTCTTATTTAAATAAATGATTTTTATTGATAAAAGTTAACAGATTCACTAATTTAAAATACACAGAATATATGTACTTAAAAATATGTACCTATACACAGAATCTTTTAGGGTTGGTCTTGTATTATTTTGGATAAATTCGATCTAATTACGTTGGTAATTAAGTTTATGATTACCCTTGAAAACAGGGGTAGTGCAAGGTTGGGCAGCAATCATAATGGGATTAATGTCTGGAAGCATACCATGGTACACTATGATGGTCCTCCACAAGAACATTTCGCTCTTAAAACAAATAGACGACACCATGGCAGTGTTCCACACCCACGCCGTGGCTGGAAGCTTGGGCGGCATTCTTACTGGATTCTTCGCCAACCCGAAACTTAACCGGCTNGACTATATAGATACAAATTGAAAATTTTAGGGATTATATAGACACAATTAAAAAATTGAGGACCAAATAAATACTAAACGCATACTTTATGTACCACAAGTGTATTTTATCCTAAAAATAATATTCACTCTTGTTTCTTCCGAATCAGCATAAGACACTGAGGTCCAAAAGCCCTCCCTCTCCCTCCTATATATTCACTAACATAAACATCTATCCAATCCTCATCTCACTGCGAAGGCCCAAAACTTGTATAAGTTTCCTATCACAGTCACCGGACGGAGTTAAGCCTGCCACCATGAATCAGCTTCCGCAGAACCTCATTCCAGACCCTGCGAGCCCCGAATGGATGAACAAAGGAGACAACGCATGGCAGCTCACGGCGGCGACGCTGGTCGGCCTTCAAAGCGTACCTGGACTCGTAATCCTCTACGGCAGCATCGTCAAGAAGAAATGGGCTGTGAACTCTGCTTTCATGGCTCTCTACGCCTTCGCCGCCGTCCTCGTTTGCTGGGTCGGCTGGGGCTACCAAATGGCCTTCGGCGATAAAGGGAAATTCCTTCCTTTTCTCGGAAAACCGGACGTCTCCTTGGATCAAAAGGTTTGATAAAAACTAACCAAGAATAAATACAATGAAATAACATAAGATCAAGTACACAAAAGTGTTTAATGTGATTCCATCTACACCCATATGTGCTAGGCTGGTCAACAGTTCGGGTTTTGGATTGGATTGTGATTAGTCTAAATTCGAATTTAATTTCAATGTCAGATAGAATTCACAATTAATTTAATGGTCTCTAAATTAAAATTTTAAATTAAATTCAAATAATATTTTTCAGATTAATTATGAGTTACACGATGGAGATAAATCAAACGATTAGGTCATTAAGTACGACCAATTGATTGACTCATGTGAGATACATATTTTTTTTCTTCAACTTTTACCAGGTTCTTCTGGAAAAAGCGTTTCTTGGGATGTTGCCGANATATTTTTTTTCTTCAACTTTTACCAGGTTCTTCTGGAAAAAGCGTTTCTTGGGATGTTGCCGACTGCGACGATGGTCTTCTTTCAGTTCGTGTTTGCGGCGATCACGTTGATATTGGTCGCCGGCGCATTGCTCGGAAGGATGAATTTTATTGCATGGATGTTGTTTGTGCCGCTTTGGCTTACGTTCTCTTACACTGTCAGTGCGTATAGCATATGGTTTCCCAGTGGGTGGTTGTCGAAGATGGGAATAATTGACTACTCCGGTGGATATGTCATTCACTTGTCTTCAGGTGTCGCTGGTTTCACTGCGGCCTATTGGGTGGGTAACCAGTTTGAGTGGCATGCATTGTTACTAATTTTTTGGTAAATCACGTCATATTAAAATTTATTCAATTTATATTTGCTGTATCTGTAATTAAATATTGTCAGGCTTAGGCTTATTCGACTACTACTTATATGATAATTGGAACAGGTGGGACCTAGGGGAAACAAGGATAGGGAAAGGTTCCCACCAAACAACATCCTACTGATGCTTGCTGGGGCGGGCCTACTGTGGATGGGTTGGACAGGATTCAACGGTGGAGATCCCTACGTTGCCAGCATAGACGCATCTCTGGCCGTCCTCAACACGCACGTGTGTGCTGCTACAAGCTTGCTGACGTGGCTCCTTCTTGACATTCTTTTCTTTGAAAAGCCTTCGGTCATTGGCGCCACACAAGGCATGATCACTGGCCTTGTTTGCATCACCCCGGCCGCNTTCTTTTCTTTGAAAAGCCTTCGGTCATTGGCGCCACACAAGGCATGATCACTGGCCTTGTTTGCATCACCCCGGCCGCAGGTACATTAACTTATATCGAAAAAACACCATTGCGTCCCAAATTTGGAAATGTTGGTGTAATATGAGTTTATGTTGAATATTAACGAATTTGTATTAAAAAATATTTTATTTATATTTAATTTATTTATTGCNTTGGTGTAATATGAGTTTATGTTGAATATTAACGAATTTGTATTAAAAAATATTTTATTTATATTTAATTTATTTATTGCTATAAATTTAACGAATCATATAATATCGAATTTATATCGTGTATGAATCTTGCATAATCCGTTATATACACAAGTCGCGTTATATGTATTTTTTTAATTAGTTTTATTCATACCCGATTCGTTTATTAATCATGTCGAGTCGGATTCATTGATTTATCAAACGGATAACTTAATTAAAACTCAAATCTTTTAATTTCGTGTTGTGTTAAGGAATCATTTCATATTTTGACACTCTTATTTAAATAAATGATTTTTATTGATAAAAGTTNATCATTTCATATTTTGACACTCTTATTTAAATAAATGATTTTTATTGATAAAAGTTAACAGATTCACTAATTTAAAATACACAGAATATATGTACTTAAAAATATGTACCTATACACAGAATCTTTTAGGGTTGGTCTTGTATTATTTTGGATAAATTCGATCTAATTACGTTGGTAATTAAGTTTATGATTACCCTTGAAAACAGGGGTAGTGCAAGGTTGGGCAGCAATCATAATGGGATTAATGTCTGGAAGCATACCATGGTACACTATGATGGTCCTCCACAAGAACATTTCGCTCTTAAAACAAATAGACGACACCATGGCAGTGTTCCACACCCACGCCGTGGCTGGAAGCTTGGGCGGCATTCTTACTGGATTCTTCGCCAACCCGAAACTTAACCGGCTTTTCTACATGGTCCCAGAATGGCAACATTACATAGGCCTATCTTATGGCCTCCACAGTGGCCAAGTCAAGGCTGGGTTTAAGCAGATGGGTGTTCAATTGCTAGGAATTGTATTTGTTGTTACGTTGAATGTTATTATGACCAGCCTGATTTGCTTGTTGATTAGGCTTGCGGTTCCGCTTAGATTGAGTGAAGAGGAATTGCTTAATGGGGATGATGCGGTACATGGTGAGGAAGCGTATGCGCTGTGGGGTGATGGAGAGAAGTTTGAGTCCTCCCGCTACACCTCCACTTATGGCGTGGAGGAGGTTCCGGGTTCGAGAACCAACCGCGATGGGCCAATGGTCTGAATTGGTTGTTGTTATTGATTTACAAACCTTACGACATTAAAAAAGAGCCACGGTTGTAGAGCTTTGAGCCTGTTTGAATCCATGTTCAAAAAAAAAAAAAAAGACCGTTTGATTTACATGTTATTTTCTTTTTTCAGATGGGGCCTGATGAGGACAATGNAAAAAAAAAAAAAAAGACCGTTTGATTTACATGTTATTTTCTTTTTTCAGATGGGGCCTGATGAGGACAATGACTTTAATGTACTCGGTCATTCATCTTAATAATCAGGTATCCTTGAGAAAATCTTTTTTTTCAAAGAAAGAAAAAGAATCACCTTGTGCTATATTCATTACATAGAGAGCAACAAAAAATAAATACAATTAACCTCAATTTATTTTGATAAAATCAATGATATTGGTATTGCAACCCAATAGCAAGACATCACATACTCAAATGGTACCCAACAAGTGCATACATTGTAATAATTTTAATTGAGTGATAATAGCACAATGTAATATCACCAAAACACTGCATAATCATTGATTAGAATCCTTAACATAGAGGCAAACATAACATATCAAGAGCCAAACAAATACTAGAAGAACCCATATGACAAGATATCCTACTAACATAATCAGTAATTTTTTCAAGACAACCCAAAAGGGTAACCTAGAAATGCTAACCTAGAAAACCCCCAAGAAAACAGTGGAAGAAATCAAACTAATTGTACAGGACTCAGCAGAACACAGTTGCATAAAGAACAAGTTGTTCGTAAAATATCAGCAGTTTGATGTCCGAATATAGCTCATTCCTTGGTGGTTTTGTTAATGAGAGACTTGTGAATGTGAGGGATCACACCGCCTCCAGCAATGGTTCCCTTAATAAGAGTGTCAAGCTCCTCATCCCCACGAATGGCTAGCTGCAGATGTCTTGGAGTGATTCTCTTCACTTTCAAATCTTTGCTAGCATTTCCAGCCAACTCAAGAACTTCAGCAGTCAGATATTCTAGAATTGCAGCTGAATAAACAGCTGCTGTGGCCCCAACTCGCCCATTGGCAGAAGTCCTTGTTTTGAGATGGCGATGAATTCGGCCTACTGGAAACTAAACTCCCTCACACAAAAAGAAAGAAATGAGAACAAATCTATTCATGTACCAACCCCATTAAAAAAAACATGCATGCAACAAAGAGCAGTCCAATTTTTTGTGTATGTGAATTCATGTTTGTAAGCTGTTCCCATCTTTACCAGTGACCCCATTCCATAGGAAATATCTAGCTTTTGCATGATGAAAGAATTATAACAGTATGAGAAGCACAATAAGAGTTTTATGTCATACAGCTAGAGGGACTGCTATAATTAATATAGTATCAATTACAAGCTACATAAAAACCTTGGGTACTGAATTTTTGCCAAAGTTTCCTCCCCCCTCCAAAAAAAAAAAGGAAAGGGAAAAGTGCCTCAGCAACATCAATGGACCAACTGGCCTACCCTACACTCTGAACAAGGTGCCTGTGAATTTTTCTACCAGATCACAGTACAACCAGCGTGTAATTTCCATAGCACCAAGGGACTTCTAAACAAAAGTGCAACAAAGATTCAAAAAACCACAACATTGCATGGTGCAGCCGCTATGTGCAAATGATGCAAAATATTAAGTTTGCAAGTGAATTCATGAAACTCAGTATTAACCATAACTACAAACATAAGCCAGCTACTCAACAATCATGCCACAGTGAAGTCTAAGAAGGCTTAAGACAAAGGAGATTGAGATTTAGCTACTTATGAAAACAAAATTAAATTGTGATTGCGAGGTAAGCATACGTTGTAATAAGCCCCAAAAGCCAATACATATAGTTGGCTTGGATTCTAGATCACTTGGGCCACAATGGTTGGTGGCAGACATATTGTAAACTGACTAGAACCAAGGCATGATTGCAGCATCTTCCCGAAACATTGAAAAAAAAAAACCCATTTACTTAATCAACAACATTATGATCTCTCTCTCTCCCCAAATTCCCACCCGCTGACTTACTGTGAACAGTGGTGAAGACCTAATTTTCAACAAAAGTGCAATCCTATGTACCCACTCAGATCATTAGGGATAAAAGGCCTTATGGAATTGAGTGTACTATTAGGCCATCCAAATCAACAACAAGAAGGCCTCGGATAGAAAGAGAAAGGATTTATATTTACCTGGAGACCAGCTCGAGATGACCGGGAAACAGGCCTTTTCTTGTCCTTCTCCTTGCTTGCAGCTGCTGCCGCTGCTGCTGCCGCCGTTGTCTTTCCTGCCAAAAGCCCCTTCCCGCCCTTTCCAGCCATTTAACCACCTAAATACAGCACCCCCAAAAAAAAATCAACAATCCCCAAACAAAATTGGGGAAAAAAGATACAAAATCTAGAAAATGATTAATAATTGTATTGAATGTTTTCAATGATATTTGAGAAGAAGGATTATGGAAAGACAAAATTTCATGCGTTACTTAAAGAGAAATCCAGAAAAAACGAGACTTAAAAACCATGAACTGTAAGACCGTTCTATAAAAATCTAAGCTTATCTGACCAAACCCGCAAGCAAAATCTCCACCAGGGTTTCTACGTTTTTATGCATGTACAAAAAAGAAAGTTGAGAGAGAGAAACCTGCGAAGTTCCGAAGTCTAAGAATGAACTGAAGAGCCGATCTTTGAGAGAGAGAGAGAGAGAGAGAGAGAAGGAGATCTGAGGTTTCTGGTGGCTCTTGGGTAGGAATTTTATTGCTTGGGCTTCGGGGGCTTTGAATTTTTTGAATGTGGAGAGTCCAATGGGCGGTTACTTTTGGGTGGGAAAAACGTTTTTGGTGTTTCATACTTTCTTGGGAAAAAACGTCGGTATAGTTAGTTTACCAAACTGTCCTTTGTTTTCACTCAAATATTTATCTACAATTTGAGTAAATATTGATTATAAACGTTACATCATGTAAATAATGATAAAATGATATACACATCTAATAACAAAAATGAGAAAACATGGAGATGGCAGTTGACTAGGACGGGTTGCCCACTTAAAAATATTTTATCCATCCTGTTTAAACAGTAAAAATTTTAATTCTCATCCCTGTCTGCAAGTAAATTATGATCTCCACCCCTGCCCTTGACACCTGTTTTCCCATCTTGTNCACAATTTGAGTAAATATTGATTATAACCGTTACATCATATAAATAATGATAAAATGATATAAACATCTGCAAGTAAATTATGATCTCCACCCCTGCCCTTGACACCTGTTTTCCCATCTTGTTTTTTCTCTAGTAGAACTCTCAATTTTCGAGCAACAAACTAGATCCGAAGTAGTAATCAAGATAATACCATAGTCATGCAATTGAAGCCATAATTGAGAGCAAAATACAAAAAAAATTGAAGTTATGTCACCTTCAAATATGTTTGGATCTAATCCAAATAGACCAGATTTGTGGATTCCACCTTCAAATATGTGGATTCTTCGCTAGAGAAGACGAACTCAAGTTGCTNAACCAGATTCGAAGCCATAATTGAGAGCAAAATACAAAAAAAATTGAAGTTATGTCACCTTCAAATATGTTTGGATCTAATCCAAATAGACCAGATTTGTGGATTCCACCTTCAAATATGTGGATTCTTCGCTAGAGAAGACGAACTCAAGTTGCTGTAGACGTTGGAGGTGTGGGGTTTTCGAGTGAAAGGGGGTCTTCTAGGATGGGTGGTTTTCAGGTGAGTGGTTTAGAGGGTCGTTTATGTGTGTGTGTGTTTGTGTGTGAGAGAGAGAGAGAGTGGGGAAATGGCGGCATTACTGGTGGCAGGGGTAGTTTCTGGGATGGTAGGTTTTTGGGTGGGGCTTTGGGGGCCTGGGTTTAGGAGAGAGATGAAGAGAAATATGGTGGTTGTGAGTTACGATAGTGATGGAGACCGGGGAAAAGAGGGAGGGGTGCATGAAGGGGGGATTAAAAGTTGAAACAGAAGAGGGTGGGTGGGGGCAGCTTAGGGTAAGAAAAGAAGAAAATAAAATAAAAGAATAAAAAAGGAAAAACAAGTGGAAAGTGGGCTGGGGCCAGTCAGGTGTGGGAGGGAGAGAAACATAGAAAAGAAACGGAAGTGGCATCCATGCTTGACAATGACATTTATTATATAGAAAAAAAAAAAATATATATATATATATATATTTAACAGGTTTATAGGGAGGGGATGAATGTCAGTTTATCTCCATCTCTATCTTCGCACGATTTTATATGAGTATTTTCGTAAACGTCCACCGTCTAATACATATAGTTTATCATCTTTGGTTCAAATGAAACGAATTTGAACGAATATCCTTTTTTTTTCCAGATCCACTGTCATCCTTAGTTATGTATTATGTGGTTAGGTGATTATAAATTTTAGTGGAACCCATTTGTTGACTTGTTTACCTATTAATAGACAATTACACCACATGACACTATTGACGTAACGTAATAGTTACACAACTCAGCTATAAAAAGTGGCATTCTAGACTTGTGAACTCATGTGGCCCAATCGCTTGAAAAAAAGGTAACCCTAAAAAGCCCAACGGTTTAAAATTTATTAAAGTTTGATAAATTTGGAAATCAGTACAAAAATTAAGACTTAATTAAACTAAACTACATTAAAGACACTTATTTTGTCCTAAGAGTATTTTTTTTTGGAAAAAAACTAAAAATTTATTCATTACTTCATTACTCTCTCTGCTTCCCTCCATTCATTTCTCACTCTCTCTTTCCTATTTTCTATGTATCTATTTATCTCTCAATCTATCCCCTTCTCTTTCTCACCCCATTGATAATTTGTGTTCTTTTCAAATATATGGAGATTTGATTTGATTTTATTTTTTCATCTCTCACTTACTTTCTTTTTTTTTCTCCCTTCTTCTATTTTTTCTTATCGATACTCTTTCTCTCTTTATACTCTCTCTCCTTGTATCAACATTACAAAAATAAAATTACACTAATTAATTACAATTATCCTATAATTTATCAAATAGTTACTCATGTGTACTAATAAACCAAACAGTTACACTAAACAATTACACAAAATTATAACACCAACCCAATTTGTCATTTAGTTGTTTACATAAACCAAAAAATTATACCATTTAGCATCACGACATAGTTACATTAATTATATACACTAAATTGGATTTAGCATTACACAAAATTGGGTTGGTATGACAATTTTGTATAATTGTTCGATGTAACTATTTAGTTTATCAAAATATATGAGTAATTGTTTGATGTATTATATAATAATTGTAATTGACAAGTGTAATTGATTGGTATAATTGTGTTGTTGTAAGGTTGATATAAAGAGAGAATAAGGAGATAGAGTAATGTTGAGGTAAAGTAAGGGGAGAGAGAGAGAAAAAAAATAGAGGGAGAAATAGAGAGAGAGAGAAAGAGAAAATAAAGGGAAAAGAGTGAGAGCGTAATAGAAAGAGAGAGTAATGGTGTGAGAAATATGAGGAGAGAGAGAGAGTAAAAGAATAAGAATTATGTATAATTTAAGGAAGAATAAATAAGTAAAAAAATTTAAATGTCATTTGAATTTTGTACCTAATCACAAGATGTTTTATTAAAATTGAACTTAATATAGTAAAATACTAATTCATACACTTTCTTGCAAATAACTCTAAAAAAACGTATCCACACCCAAAAAAACCTTAAATTTTTTAATTATACTATTAAGACGTAATTTAAGGACATAATTTGGGGACATAATAAATTGTCACAAATAGAATGATAGTGAATTTAGTTAATGTTATAATGAGACCTATCATTAAATCCATTTCACTATTATTTCATTTGTGACAACTCATTGTGTTATTCAATTATGTCATAACAGTATTAGTGTAAATTTTTAAGATTTTAACTTTTAAGATCTTTGGAAGTTGATACCATTTATAAGTCTTAGTTGAGAGAATGGTGGGGTTATTTTCACCCCTTAAATCTCTTTTTCTACCCCATTTAATCATTTCATTTCAAATTATTAAGTTCATCTATACCCACCTCATTAATGACTAAGTTCACCCTATTTATATCCATCAAATTAAACTATTAAATATATATCAAAGAAATCGAAACAAAAATAGTAATTGAAACATAATTTTAATGTTCCGAGATGATTTGCAACATTTCGAGATATTTTGACATATTTTTATCAAGGTCTTCGAAATATTTTGAAGTGTTTTAAGAAATTTTGATATATTTCAATTAATATTTTAAAAAAATTTGAGCAAAGGTTTGACATGGTATAACTTGTGCCTAGAACATAAAATTTGAATCCCCAAAAAATCGATCCTACTTTATTAAATAATATTTTTTATTTCCTTCATTTATTTGATAACATTATTTAAAATTTATTTTCAGCCATTATTTTCTTTAAAATATTGATAAATTTTCTCAAAATACATAATTCGACAAAATTTTTTCAACATGTATATACTATTATGTATGGATAATATTTAAAATAAAAATTATATTAAATTACAAATTAATCAAATATTAAATGATTGAACATGTGATAGAAATGAATAATGTGATATTTTTTGGTGAAAAATTCAAGTTGTTAGGTATTTTATTATATTAATATAGATGTATCATTTGTAATTATTTCACAGTTTTTCACAATTAACCACTAATTTCTAAATTTATTCCAATAAAATTATTTTATTATATTGATATAGATGTATCATTTGATAAAAGGTAAATCGGAGATTGCATATGAGGAAAAGGAGAAATTGGGGAAGAAAGGGACGATATCAACGAAGAAGATATTGAAGCTGAGGAAGCTATTAACAAGACTTTTGTCTTTTACAATACTCTGATACCATGATAGAAAATGGAGACGAGGAAACAAAACAGAACAAGAGAACTAAGGAAAAAGAAGATAAAAGAATCAGAATAGTCTTCAATCATTATGCAAATGCTTTACAATGTATATTGATGTTTTAAAACTCGGCCTGGCCAGGCCTGACCTGACGGGTTGACCTGGTGAACCGGAGTCCGAATCGGACCGATTTAGTTATTGGATCGTTTGAACAAAAGAATCGGACAAAACCTGTTGAACCGGACAGTTTTGTAACAAAATCTATGAACCGGATGATTTAAAACAAACCAAACGAGTTGATTATAATGCAATAAAAGGAGGTTCTAGGCATTTTTGTCCAAATTCATTCATCTTTGCCTCTGCTTCTCCTCATCTCCAACGAGGTGATTGGTCACCCCACCCCACCCCACCCCTATATCTCTCTCTCTCTCTCTCACACACACACACACACACAAAGCACAATCGCACATCACTCAATCGAAGACTCGAAATGCCTAGATTTTTTGATTCAGATTCTTCAACTTAGCTCTTCGACTCAATTACTTCGACCCCGCTCTTCGACTCACCTGCTCATAGCACTAGAATAGATATTCGGCTCTTCAGGTATTGTGTTTCTCTCTCTCTCTCTCCACTCATTCAATTTCTTCTTCAAGAATTAGGGTTTTACTTTCTACTTTGATATGATCAATCATCTATGAGAACTCTTCAAATTTTCAATTGAAATTTGTGCAACGCTTCTTTTTTGCAGGTACGGCTTCATGTTTGGCCAAGAATCTGCTTCTACTTGAAAACCCTCTCCTCCTCATTCTTCAATTGATAACTGCCTTGTTTTCTCTCTACTTGCTAGACTGCTTATGCATTAAGCATTCTATTTTGGCCAATTATGTTTCCCTTCTATTATATTGCAGATTTAATTAATTTCTATTTGTATAAATTTTGGCCTATTTCAATTAATTATGGTCTGGTAAAAAAAAAATTTAATTGTGGGCTTTGCCGTTTAACTTTACAAGTTGTATATGAAATTGAATGTATTAGATACATATTTGATGATTTTGGGGATTTTTATTTGATCTAATATACATTAAATATTTTATTTTCATAATTATTGTAATTTTTTAGCTTATTTATAATTATTTTTTATTTTTTTTATTATATGACCGGCTCGATCAGCGACCCAATAGTTGAACCAGTAATTCATTGATCCGGTCCTTTCTCCATGTTGATGTTCGGGCGGGTTTTAAAACTATGGTATATATACAAAAGTGAGGGCACATCTGGCACAATTGACCCTTCCCCTCTCCCCTAGGAAAAAAGAAGAAGAAGAAGAGTATAGGTAATTTGTGTCAGTGTGATGTAATTAACTAATTTAATTAAATTAGAATTTGTTAATACTTATACAATTTTATTGGGGTGTCAATTTGACCTATTAACATGAACTTTAATTTCAAAATTGATTGATAAGTGTGAATAATAAGTGGATTGGATTAATGTTTAACACTTATGATAAATTAAATATTTTTTTTGAGTATTAACATGAACACAACACAAATTACAATGAAACCATATAAAAATAGCCACACATGAATGGCATGATTCGCCGTGAATTAACACTCTATTGGTGACTTAGTATCATTTTTATATTTACTACAAGAAATAATTCTGTATTTGAATATATTTTTATATTAACAAAAATTAAATATTGAGCATACAATATTTAAAATTAATTTTTTTATTTTTTTTCTATTTTTCATTGTTGTGTTTTTATTGATTTTTACTGTTAGTATGATGTTTATCTTATTTTGATTCCCAATATTTTAATTGCATTATTTTGGTTCTTAAAATATTGAATATGTTTCTATATGGTNTATTGTTGTGTTTTTATTGATTTTTACTGTTAGTATGATGTTTATCTTATTTTGATTCTCAATATTTTAATTGCATTATTTTGGTTCTTAAAATATTGAATATGTTTCTATATGGTCTCTCAAGCAGACAACATCGAAATTACTAACGATTTTTTTATCATAAACTTGTCACGTAATACCTAAATATGGACAATAAATAATTTGAGTATATGTTGACTAAAATTTGGGTTGCTATTAACCAAAATGTACGATATGAGTAATTTTTGACTAAAATTTGAATATCTCATAATCAAAACTATATAATTTGAGTAATTCTTTGATCAAAATTTGATCAAGAGTTATCCAAATTTTTTTTATCATATTTATGTATTACGTGATAAATTTATAATAAAAAATTGTTAACAATCTGAACGTTGTCTGCTTCAAGAATTATATAAAACTATATTTAATACTCTAGAAATCCAAATAATACAATTAAAATATTAGGGATCAAAATAAAACAAACTTTATGTTTTAGAAANGTTAACAATCTGAACGTTGTCTGCTTCAAGAATTACATAAAAATATATTTAATACTCTAGAAATCAAAATAATACAATTAAAATATTAGGGATCAAAATAAAACAAACTTTATGTTTTAGAAATCTCTAATACAATTAACCTTAATTTTTAAAAGACATTTTATAAAAATTCAACATTGTAATATTAGATAGATTTTATCCTAGTCTATCGGTCTATGGATTAGTTTTGTGATTGTGCTTAGGTGCATAATGGTAAAGCAAAGGCACCCCATGCCACGAACGTGAGCCGGTTCCAAACGCTCCGTACCACGAGGAGTAACCACCACTTCCTGCGGGAAAAAAAAAAAAAAAATACTGAGGACATTTTGGGTATTTCCGCTAGACCCAGACTCTTTCAAAAAAAGGTGACGTGTCGACGTGTGGCCACAGTCTCGATCTGAACCGAGTTAACTCAGCGCCACGTAGTTCCCACATTTATTCTTCCTTGCCACGTAGGCCTCCAGCGTGTCAAATTGAAACCCAATCAGCAAACCTCATCATTCCTACCCTTTAAAATGCCATCTCATCTGGTCTCCTCTTCAGAAAAGCCCCTAAACGATCGTACCAAAAGGAGCAACAGTCTTTTATGATTTAATGACGTAATTTTAATATAATTATTGAGTTAATTGTGAGATAAAATTTACAATTAATTCAATAATTATATTAAATTAAATCACAAAATAAAAATTTTAAATTAGGCCCAAATAGCATTTTCCTACTAAAAGCTCTCATTTCTCTGTGTCTTTTTCGTTTTGAGTCTCGAATACTTTTTTCGGTGCCGTTTCCGGCGAATTATTCGGCGGAAAATTTTTATCTATCGCCAGTTGATGGAAATACCGGCCACCGATCGTTGTTTAGGTTGCCTATTTGTTGATGATATTACGTTTGCTGATGGTTGCGTACTTGGCGAGCTTTAGTCGTATTCGCAAACCCCTAGCGAAAGCGAACGTTACTTAGCAGAATTTCCAAGTTATTCCAAGCTTTATCTGGCGTATCGCAAGCAAACAATGGGTATAATAATGATAATACGGGAGATGAAGAAGGTATTAGTTTTAACTTAGACTCTCCAAGTTTGGCAGATTCATTGATTCTTCGATCGATTTTTGTTGGTCCGATGACAAGTAATATGGAGGCATCGATGATGCTATTAGGTTGATATATTTGGATTGTAGTTCATTCACCAACTTTTTTTTTATCGTTCTATCTGGAGATCGTATTTCCCTGGAAATTCGAGGTGTAGAACGGAGGTAGAAGATGGATAGGGTTTTAGAAATTAGATTTTGAATTGACTGAGCATTAACTCTGTAACAGACAGATTAATCTGGCCTACCAAATTTAATAAGTTTATAGGAAAAGCATTAACTTCGTAACAAACATTTGAATTTGGGAAATGCAGTACCAAAATTGATAAGTTCAAAGAGAGCGTTTGTTTTTCTTCTCTTGATCACGCCAGTCATGCCTTTCCCGATGAAGATTCAACCAATCGATTTCAACGCACCAGAAGCATCGACTTGCTATGAATCAGTCAAACCAGTCTTAAAGTCGCGATTCAAGCGACTTTTTGAGCGGCAATTCCAGAATTTTCTAAGGATATCGGCGCCGGAGAAACCTCTGGTCGGCAATGAAGAGGAGCATTGCAACAAAGATGGTTCAGAGAAGTTCGGTCCCAGCTCCGTTTGTCTGGCCAAAATGGTTCAGAATTTCATTGAAGAGAGCAACGAAAAACAATCCGTTGAAGTAAGGTGTGGTCGGAAGCGATGCAATTGCTTCACCGGGAATAGCATGGACAGTTCAGAGGACGAATTTGACTCCACCAATTGTTTCGGTGAATCGAACCACACCTCATTTGGTGATACACGTGAAATTCTCAAGGTATTTTAGTAGTCTAATTTTTGACCGACCTTTTTTTTTTCTTTCAAGTTCATATGTTTTCTTTTTCCTCTACTGAGCAGAGTTTGGTGCCTTGTGCTACTGTTACCGAAAGAAATCTGTTGGCAGACATTGCGAAAATCGTTGAGAGAAACAAGGTTTGTAAGCGTAAGGACGATTTTTCTAGAAAGATCGTTACAGATGGTCTATTAGCTTCCGGATACGACTCTTCAATTTGCAAATCCCGATGGGATAAATCCCCCCTTTATCCCGCCGGTACTTTCTCTCTTTCTCTGCAACCAAACAGGCCTCTCTTTTTCGGATAATTGCAGTCATACAAGTGCAAATCTTTGGCAATTTTCTGAGTTTGAATTTTTCTTAAGAAAGTTGGAAATTTGTTGTGGTCTGGACCAGGGGCATATGACTATGTGGATGTGATTATAGAGGGCGAGAGGTTGATAGTGGACATTGATTTCAGATCAGAGTTTGAAATTGCACGATCAACCAAAACCTACAAAGCAATCCTCCAAACTCTGCCTCAGATTTTCGTCGGCAAAGCTGATCGTCTTCAGAAGATCATATGTATCGTATCGGAGGCAGCGAAACAGAGCCTGCAGAAGAAGGGAATTCACGTCCCTCCTTGGCGAAAAGCTGAGTACGTCAAAGCCAAATGGCTGTCTCCCTGTACTCGAATCACACCAGAACCAACTCTTGCACCCACATCTGAGAACACTCCCCACGAAACTGACATCAAATCTGAAAAGGAAGAGGCTTTGACGCGTAAGAAAAGCTCCTGCGGCGATTTTGTGCTGATCTTTGGAGAGAAGAGCTCTCCGGCTGAGACTGATAATGGTGAAGCTGTTTTTACTTTGTCAGATAGCTCTGTTGAGGAAGACAATCCGGTGGTGGTGAAGCAATGGGAGCCTCCTGAGATTAAACCCAGGTCTTCTTCACAAATTAGAGTCAAGATGGTCACTGGTTTAGCTTCTGTTATAGAAGACAACCCATAAATTTTGATTTTCTTTTCCTTGTTTTTGTGTGTTTTGGTACCCAAAAAACAAATACCAAAGATGATACAACCTTTTTGTCGGTTGATTATAGTCCCCTTCTACGTTTTTTTGCAAGGGTTCTTCCATCTAACATAGTCCATAAAGGAATATCATACATATGTTGACAATTTTATCAATTAATGTATGATTTTGGGTAGCATCCGTAAGAGCATTTGGGCCTGTGCTCAATAACATTATTTCTGTTTTCTTCTTTCGAGTTCATGATAAGTAGCAGGTTTCTTTTATGATTTTGTGGAACTCCAAACCTTTTTAGACAAGTGGTACGCATTAAACTTAGAAATTCTAAGTTTGGAACTTAACAATTTTAATGGAAGTCTTGTCAAATTACATGGTAAAGGATAGGAGATTGCCAAAATAGGTTAGAATTTGTTTGTTAAGGAATGCAATTCAAATCTTGTTCATAATCAGTTGTATTATGATGATATAGTGCAGTTTATTTCGTGGTGCATCAATTAAATAATCAGGTGATGGGGGTACAGTACAGTACTACAAAACTTAGTAATAACTGGTCAGAGGCGACGAAGAAGAAAAGAGGGTTTTCAGGGGTCGGTTGGGTTTACTCTTTTATCACGGTAAAGCTACTAGTTTAATACCTCAACCTTTATTTAAAGCAAACTGCCACCTACTTTTCGTCTCTCTCTCTCTCTAAATATTCTGGTTTACTTGTGCACAGAATTGAGCATCTCTTTAAATTTGATCAATATGACGATAAGTTTATCTTAGAACATGTTACATAAACCATCCCCAAGATTTGTATTTATTGCATTTCACCCTTGGAGGTGTCACATGCCCGCGAAGTAGTTTTTTTTTTTTAATTCAATGGTTAAGGGTGTCCAAATCATTTTATGTGTACTTCGATTAATTTCTTCTCTTGTGTAGGCAAAGACAGGTTATCCACACGGGGACAAAGTAGATGTGATCATACATGATAGACATATAAGGTTCCAATGCCTGTGAGAAGATTGAGACCACTACTATCTAGTCCATTGCTTAATGAACAGGAATGCAATGGGCAAGACTTATGCGGTCCTATAGCTGAAACTGATCAGCATGCTTATTCAACAAATTTGGTAGCAACTGAATCTCCTTTTACTTTGCAGCATTTGGCCAGTTCTGCTCGTGTGTATACTTTTTTTTCCAGCATTAAGCACCCAGAAATGAGCTAATCTATGTTCCACCTAATTTGGCCATAAAGGTAGCTGCTAGGGATATATGTTAACTATGTGTTTGGGTATAAAATATTAACTCTCAATGTATTAATATCTAACAATTTGGATGCATTGAGAAGTTGTCGAGTGGTAAAATATAAAAAATGATGGGAAATGATCAATTACGATCATATTTAATAAAAAAAAATAACTAACTGGAAGTTACCGGCCAATAATCATTGATGGAAGCAAAAATTGTTGAAGTCAATAGTTATCAACGGGCACATAGAGAAAAAGATAAATGATACACTCAAACTCTTACAAGACTCAAATCTAAGCATTTTAGGAGTTGTTTTAGATTAGTTTTAGAACACAGTTGTTGCTGCAATTAATGTAATTTATTTAGGCTTTCTTTAACCGAAATCCCTTCGATTAAACTAATAAAAGAATTCTCTTTTATTAATTCTTTGTACCATATGTTTGTTCATTATTTTCATCTAAGGAAATCACGAAACAAGGTATTTAAACCTTTCACAAACAATCACTTAAAATTTGTCGATCTCAATAGATTTTGTAGCAACATTATACTATGCAGAAGAGTTTTTCCAATGTTTTGATCGAGCGGATTGGCTATGTTGTTGGCCAATGTTCCAAATCATCATTCTAAGGTATGGGTAGCAACAAGATTGTTCTCTTATTTTTGTTTAAATTTAGTCTAATTCTTCGTTTGATACGATGGAAAAATAAAAGAATAGGAAATTAGAAGGATGAAAAGTTTCAGGATAAGGAAGAAATTAGAAGGATAGAAAAGTGGATGAATAAGTTTTCTTTCCAATTAGAGGTGTTAATTTTATCCATTAACAAGAACCCAACCTGACACAAAACTCAAATGATTAGTTGGCATGAGTAATAAATGGGTTAAATTAAGGTTCGAGACAAACAATACGATTAACGGATATTGTAGATAAAAAAAAATTATTTAACGAGTATTGTAGACAGAAAATATTTTTTTTTTATTTTTTTAAATAGTATTATATGAGTTGTGGAATTAAATAATTTTTTATTGACACAAATATTGACAGGAACCCGACACGTATCGAAAGTCACATAATACAAAAGTAACACAATTGAAAGTGACACGACACGACATAGTTTACCCCTTTCAACTTGTCAAAATCAATCTCTCCAAAATTAAGAAAAAAAGTAAATAACAAATTAATTATGTTTGTTAAAATATATATTATTTATCTATATATCATATAATATATACATATATTATATTTATTAATTACATATCATGTATGCATTAATTTTATATATAGATATAATAGTAAAATATGTATTTATATTTTTTTAAAAAATAAAAAATAAAAAATATTTTTTCCATCTTGCTAAACATAAAAAATTAAATTTTCATACTTTTCATCTTTCTTACCAAACACAAAAGAAACAACAAAATTTCTCCCATGGATAAAAAGTATGTCGCTCTCACTTTTAACCTTCTATTTTTTCACCCGCCCAATCAAGGGCAGTATAAGCTTGGGCTTGACTTGACTGTCTTGAACAATCTTCTCACTCTATTTATATCATATTATACGCGAAAACATCCGTGAATATCGGCTGTGGAAGTGTACGCTTTTGAGCATTCTTCTCTTGAAAAGTTGTATTTCAAAGTTTGTGTTCTACCCACCGATCGAGCCATCATCTTCAACGCTCTAGCCATTGATTAGATTGGTCTTCACTATTGAAATATTAGTAACATGTTGAATTATAGTGTTGTCATTCACTTATTATAAATGCGGAGAAGATTAGGTATATTTTGAACTCACATGATATAATATGTTTTGAAAGAAGATGAGAATGGCCTTGAGGTTATGAGAGTGAAGTCTCAATAACAAGAGTAATTAATAAGGAGATTAATTTTACACCATTCTAGATCACTAACCTCATATTGATGGTGTATTCTTTTTTTTTTTTTTGGCTATAGGGTGTCCGGACTTACTTTGACTATTTTTTCGAGCTCGAATACTGGCCAATGTTGTCTAAACAGGTTTAGAATATGTCCCCTGAGAAAATAGAATAGTTGGCCCTTATAGAATATGAGAAGTGATGAACCCTGAGATTTTTGGGTTGTTAGAGATTAGGCTTAGCTATTGAACTAACCCCAAATATTGTATTGATGGTATACTTGCTTCAATATAGTGTGTCCTAATTGGATGTATAGTAGGTGATATACCACCGTAAGAAATCGAGTAAAACTGTATTTTAGGGATCTAAATCATAGCAATAAAGATTATAGCAGTCATAGCAAATTAGAATGGGTGAAGATTGGTGTCATTGCTAAGTAAAAGTAGGTATGAATTCTCTTTCTAGAAACCAACTGTTTACCTGACCTCACCCAACAAATAACCTAACTTCCAACAAATAAATTTCCAAGCTCTGCATTTTCATTACTTGCGATAATTTCCTCTAGTGATGTTTATACCTAAAGATTATTCAGTAAAGGACTGCATTGGTAGGTNACTACTGAACTAATCCCAAATATTATATTGATGGTATACTTGCTTCAATATAGTGTGTCCTAATTGGATGTATAGTAGGTGATATACCACCGTAAGAAATCGAGTAAAACTGTATTTTAGGGATCTAAATCATAGCAATAAAGATTATAGCAGTCATAGCAAATTAGAATGGGTGAAGATTGGTGTCATTGCTAAGTAAAAGTAGGTATGAATTCTCTTTCTAGAAACCAACTGTTTACCTGACCTCACCCAACAAATAACCTAACTTCCAACAAATAAATTTCCAAGCTCTGCATTTTCATTACTTGCGATAATTTCCTCTAGTGATGTTTATACCTAAAGATTATTCAGTAAAGGACTGCATTGGTAGGTGCACGGGAAATTCATGTAATGGGTTGAGATAGTGATTTTTTGGATGATCTTGAATGATGAACTTGAGACAACAGAAAAATCAGGAAAGGGGGTTAGGTGTACACTCAGCTTATCCCATCCGAGGCTTGAGTTAGTCAGCGTTCGAGTGAAAGAACACAGTAATTCTGGATTTAAATTACATATTTGAGTTTAGTTTTTGAAAGGGTGTTTATACCTTGATTCGTAATGATGCATCTCATTCGGAGTCTCATCCTATAATTTAATAACCTGGGTTCGTAATCTAGCATAATAAGTGTTATTCGGTCATGTCTCATTAATTCTAAGTGCCCAAGTGCCGAGCATTCATGGCTCACTCCCTGGCTATCGAGTGCTTCACATAAGTACTCAGAGCCCATAGTCAAGCCTTTATGAGAAAACACTAGATCCCCCTCGGTCTAGTANTTGAATGATGAACTTGAGACAACAGAAAAATCAGGAAAGAGGGTCAGGTGTACGAATCATCCGAGGCTTGAGTTAGTCAACGTTCGAGTGAAAGCACACAGTAATTCTGGATTTAAATTACATATTTGAGTTTAGTTTTTAAAAGGATATTTATACCTTGATTCGTAATGATGCATCTCATTCGGAGTCTCATTCTATAATTTAATAACCTGGGTTCGTAATCTAGCATAATGAGTGTTATTCGGTTATGTCTCATTAATTCTAAGTGCCCAGGTGCCGAGCATTCATGGCTCACTCCCCGGCTATCGAGTGCTTCACATAGGTACTCAGAGCCCATAGTCAAGCCTTTATGAGAAAACACTAGATCCCCCTCGGTCTAGTAGTCATTAATATCTTGTAATGATGATTGTTTTTATGTTCCTCGAAAATTAGAGAGCTATTAATGATTCATCATACC